GAGAATAAAACAAGCTCTCCATAGGCGCCTAAGGCAGCCAACAACTGAGGTTTAAATGGTTGTAGTAGTATTAGAAGAATGGGACAAAATTCCTCAGGAATGGATCAATGGGCTTATTGAGCAGCAGGACTTCTGGGTACACGACTTAATTAAGCGATGTGGCTGGTCTACAGCTAATTAATTAATAAAATTCATGATTCTGATGCCCTGAACGCACGGACTTTTGTCCCCATGTTCGTTAATAGCTCACCCGTGACGGGGAAATGTTCCCCACGACCCCACATTCGTGAGTGCGGGGTGAACTCCGCTCCCTTGAACAGGCAATTGATCAGAGCATGCCTTTGCAGATCAACGGCTTTATCCATCCCAACTGCATCGTTACACTCAACAATGGTGGGTAATCATACTACGAGGTGCCGTCGGCATTTGACGGAGCGGTTCCGCTATCTAACTTCTTCACTTATCTCCAATACTCATCCATCTCTTCGTTTCAACCATCTCATTGTATATAAGTCGATAGAGGTAAGAAGATGGGTGTATTCTCCAGGAAATCTGCCGCCCACGAGGCTCCCGATGACATCTTCTCATCTCCAATATCGGACGTCGAAGCAGGTGATAAACCAGCCGCTATCCATGCCGAGACCCTCTCGCCCACTGCCACAGCACCACATTCGAAATGGCACCTCTCATCCAAGAACAGCGATGGCGACACCGCATTAGCACTCTTCTCCAATCCAGATGAGCTCCACGAATCCATCTCACCTGCAGATGAGCGTGCTCTGCAATGGAAGATCGATCTGATGATTTTGCCATATCTGGCTGTGTGCTATGCTTTCTTCTATATTGATAAGACGACGTTGAGTTATGCGGCAATATTCGGGATCAAGGACGATTTACATTTGAAGGGAACGGAATACAGTTGGCTGAGCTCAATTTTCTATTTCGGGTTCTTGGCTTGGGCGTGTAAGTCTCCTTCGTGCTCACGTCTGAGACCGGGGATTGACTCTGAATAGTTCCCACAAATTTCATGATGCAAAGATTTCCCATCGGCAAATATCTGGGAATCAACATCTTCATGTGGGGGGTTTTCTGTAAGCATATTTCTTTTCTCAGACCAACCTTGTGTTACTGATCAAATATCATCTAGTGATGCTTCAAGCTTGTGCAAAGAGCTTCACACAACTGGCTGTTCTTCGAGCCTTTTCAGGAGCTGCAGAAGCATGCTCTGATCCATCATTCATGTTAATCACTTCGATGTGGTATACTCGAAGGCAGCAACCTCTTCGAATCGGCATCTGGTATACCGCGAACGGATTAGGAATTGCTTGTGGTGGATTGTTAGGATATGGAATTGGCCATATCAAAGGTAGTCTTCCAAGTTGGAAGTACGAATTCTTGATCATTGGCGCGCTGTGCACAATCTGGGGTATGTCGTTGATGTTCCTAAGTCCGAACTCTATTTCCTGGTCTCCAGTCATCAAAAATGTCTCGTATTTTGAGATTCGATGTTTATGCTCTTCATGTACTGATCTCAGCAGGCATCGTCCTCTTCTTCTTCCTCCCAGATTCGCCTGTCACAGCAAAACTCCTGACCCCAAAGCAGAGACGCTGGGCAGTTGAACGACTCCGCGAGAATCAGACGGGAGTTGAGAATAAGCACTTGAAGAGATACCAAGTTCTCGAAGCTTTCAAAGACCCGAAGCTTTACCTCTTCTTTATCCTTGGAGTCGTGTAAGCATTGCCCATCAACACCTTCTTTCATCCCGCGTTCGAGACTCGAACTAACGACTACCAGCGGCAACGTCCCCAACGGCGGCATCTCAAACTTCGGCACCATCATCATCCAAGGCTTCGGCTTCTCCACCCTGGTAACAACCCTAATGCAAGTCCCCTACGGCATCCTGATCGCCCTCTCAATCCTCACCTGCGTCTTCCTCAACGACCACGTTTCCCGCCACGGTCTGCAGACCCGCTGCTACTTCATAATCCTCTTCCTACTCCCCAACATCGCTGGAGCCTTCGGGCTCGCGTTCCTGCCTTCAGACAACAAAGGCGGTCGTCTGACCTGCTATTACCTCACCGGCCCCTACAACGCGGCTTTTGTAATGATTCTGAGTCTGCAGACGGCGAATACGGCCGGGCATACGAAGAAGGTGGTTACGAACGCGGTGTTGTTTCTGGGGTACTGTACGGGGAATATCGCGGGCCCGTTCTTTTACAAGACGGATCAGAGTCCGCGGTATGAGTTGGGGATTTGGAGCATGATTGTGAGTCACTTGTTGGAGGTGGTGGTAATTTTGACTTTGAGGTTGTTGTTAAGTCGGGAGAATAAGAGGCGGGATCGGGTGCAGGGGGTTGGGAGGGAGGAGAGCGAGGAGTTGAGGACGGAGAGGGAGAGGGAAAGGGATAGGACGGCTTTTAGTGATATGACGGATAGAGAGAATTTGAACTTTAGGTATATTTATTGAGGATGTGATGCGGGTGCTGTGGACATATGGATAGACATAGGCAGATCCTGGCCTAGTAGTCATTGTTTGTAATAAAAAAATGATACTCCTTCCACAGAATATCGACTTTGTTGAATTAAAGGAGCCAAGCGAACGTGAACCTAGAGCAATAAAAGTACCAAAGATACAGAAATTGAGCAGACTTCCACCTTCAGCAAACTCTTGCACACGAAAGCAATAAGTCGAAGATCACATCAAGCTCAAACAGATAAGAAATACAAAACCATTCCATATTCCATAGCATCGCGATATCTGACAACAGCGGCACCACTTTGCCGACTGCCAATGGCCTAAATTTTCTGGAAAGTTTTGGAAGTTTTGTTGCACATCGCACTGCACGTTTTGCCTTCCCCAACAAGCAGTCTGCTAAAATCACAACTTTTGAAAAGTACCGTTATACATACACAACCTTCTTTACTATCACCACCCACGACTTCCGGAAGTTGGAAACATCAAATTTTCTGCGACGTTCAACAAAAGATTGTGAGGCCGTGATTGGTCCATGCAAGGACTAAGCAGCTGAATGAATGGATGTTTTCTTTTGAGGAATAGGAAATGACGATGTTTCCACTACTAAGGTATTTCGGAATATTTGATGATCTGTTGGTGAGGTGCAACAGATGATTGATGTTGAGGTGATGTTTGGCTTGATGGCGAAATGAGACACCTACCCTAAGTTGCCGTTCTATCCAGAGAAGTGAAAGATCATTCAAGACTGATAGATTCCCAATAGCTTGGCAATCATGTGCGGGATCATCTACTGATTTGGAGGCTCTCGTCGAAACTCCTGGACGAAAACATCTGGAACAAGAACGGCCAATATTGGAGCGCGCATCTGAATTCTGGAATTAAGATGTTTCTAAGAGGACTTGATAACATCCCGATATGGACGAAGAGGGGAAGTCTGTCTCCAACTTGGAAGGTTTGGTTGAGATCAGCGTTCCCAATAAGACAATATGTTATGACATATTCGCTCGCTACCCCTGAAGATCTCAAGATCGTCCTCGCTTGTGGAAAGGAGGTAGTCCCAGCCCAGCAGTGCCCAACGCTAATTGCATCTGATGATAATGGCATGTTGAAACTTCGAAAACCCTCACCTGAGCATCATCTAAAGGAGACAGGGGCAAGGTATACTTTGTACACCGCCTCACATTTCTTGTTTAAGCAGACGCAAAACTTGAATCTCTATCAAAGTTAAAACGCTCAGGCAACTTGCTTGGTTTACCTTTCAGGAAACTCTGTCCCTCCCATGTTCTAATCTCCGAGCCACGGGTGACAGGATTAGCTTCCCCGTAGCCGATCTTGACTAGTACACGTTTGTGTTTCTGCAGTCCGATAAGGATGATCGAACTAGAGTTTAAAAGTCGATGTAAGGCTTTCGGAAGCATGGATTCGCAAGCCGCATCTCTGACCCCGAATCGAATAATAAATAAGTAAACTTTCCACTTGGACTCCGAGGAGGACGCACAGTCATGATATATTGTCGAAAGTATAGCTGTTTGTCAGCCAGGCCGGTACTGCAAGACGATTATTCTGCTGCAAACGGGAGTCTCGGTAAGTGATGAACTTGCCCTCTCAACCAACCTAGCGCCGTGGAGATGCCAATCATCGTTTGTCGACCGGGGAGAAGGCAACTGAGACATCGACCCGACTACGCGGTATTGGTTCAGCCAGAGGAGGCTCGTTGAAGAAACGTGGGGGCGGCGTGGGGAGCTCGAGATGATAAACGTGATAAAAGAAACCGTGGGATGCGCCACAGCGCCACTTCAACGCTCAACCCTTGGCGTCGATGATTGCGCGTCGCGATGATTGGCTGTGTGGGATGAAAGATGGAGAGCTGCCAGGGTGCTTGAAGTGCCGGGCAGCGTGATGGCATCTCCATCTCGTGCGTCCGCGGTGTTTCGAAGCTTGTCGCTGCAGCCTTACCGACTCGAGATCTCTATCTGAGATAGCCACAATCCCAACCCAACCCTGTCGTAGTCACCGCCGCAAATAGTTGATACCGTACTGGATCTATCCTGGAAGCCGCGACGCCGACGGCAACTTGCTATCTCTATCTCTATCTTCTCGTCTTTCTGTTTGTCATGGCCCGGCGGCGTAGTTTATCGCTGGCCAAGTCTCACGGTCGGTGTTGGAGGATGATCTTGACCAAAGAAGCAGGAGGATGGCGCAAATACGAATGGCACAAAGGCCGCCGCCGCTCAGCAATCGTAATCTGAAGCTTGAACGAGATTACCTGGGCAGGATCTGGATTCGGGAGGATGAGATTTCGGGAGTGACGGCATGGCGCCGCCGTCAGATATTGCTTCTTCTTCCTCTTCTGTGGCTGATGAAGTCCAATAATGAAGCCACGAGGGGACATCCAAGGCTCGTTCTTGATCCTTTTTGTCAAACCAAAGATGAGATGCGTGTCACCTCAGCTGGAAGGAGCGCGAGTAGTCTCCGAGCTCACGACATCACCTGGACTTTTTTGAACAACACATCAACCCAAAACCGAGGCTTAGACCAGCACAGCGGGCGTAGGAGCACACGAACAAGGCTGTGGCCTGTTTGAGCCTGCTCTTTGCTGTGAACAGGTGACGACGCCGCTGATCATCTATTGTTGTTGCCCAGTTGGAGATGGAACTTTCGAACGCCAAGCTGAAGTCCCTGATACATACGAAGACAGATGCCAAGTGATTCGTACGAAGGTAGGCAGAAATTGGTCGTGCCCGGTGAGCCTCGCTCTGTTTCGCGATGTGGGCGACCGTGTCGGCGCTTCTCGACCGTTACCACTATCTTATGATCTGGTTTTCTGCCGCGCTGTTGGTTGCATCCCGGCCAATAATATGAAATTGTATATGAGAACCTGTTTCGGTGAAAAGCGTTCGGTGACATCTCCTGTACTGGACTGTGTGTAGTCTAGTCAGACCGTCAGACCAAATCATCCTCGCATCGTCCCGAGCGCATCGTGCCGTTACTCCTAGCCTGATACCCACACCCACACCGCCTCACGGTATCACAACAGCGACCGATATGGCTGTTGCTGATTTCATTTACTCATCTGGCCAAGGAAGTTCCAGAAAATGAGGCGCACAAGTGCATGCATATTTCAAATCGTTGTGCTGTAGTCGCACTCCATCTCATCTCATCTTTACATACTGTACTGTGCTGTACATCGAACCGACGAAGAACGCCGCCGATGTTATTCGGTATTCGCAAAGAGGCTTCCATGGCGGTGACAGCCTCCTTACCCTTGCATGTCCTCTGCATTGACACGATACAAACTTTGCCTCTCCTTGCCTCCTGCTTGTGCCTCCCGGCGCCCGATGAAGTGCCTTTTTGGTGAGATGTGATCTACGTCGAGAATAGATACAATAAAGTAAGACCAACATGAATACCTCGCTCCGTGTCTCGGTAAAAATAGGAGGTGTTAGCGATCGGCGCCGTCGGATATTCGTACTCTACCACCGTACAGTCTGATGAGAGGCGGTGCCCAATGTCCGTCATCTCGATTTTATATCATTTCAAGCGAGCATCAAATGCGACCTGGGACACTGTAAAGACCCGCCGGGAACACTTCACCCTCCCTCATCCTGGTCCATCTTCCGTCATCCTCCGTTTGACGAGCAGTAGCAATCCCATCCCGCCGGGAGATTCGCCGTCTCGTTGCCGGAGCTCGAGCCCGGCCTCGTGTGAAGTGACAGGATACAGGTATGAGGATGACGGAGGAGGAAGTTCATCCACCATTTGGCTGAGGGTGCAACATATCGACGCAACCTTCTTGATGGCCCTCGGCCCGTAGAGAAATAACCTCATACCCTATGATGATGCCCTAGACCCCGTTATGTTTTCTTCAGCACTTCCTGTACAGTACCTGGGTTCACTTGTGTATCGATCGGGTATTTGTTGCCTACAGTACTGTACCTGGACCGTTCTCCCACAAAAGCAACCGGTCGTGTGTGATATGGCATTGTAGGGACCAGGGTCTTTCTGGCCTTCGCACTCGCACGCTCAGGCAAGAGAGGAGAGCTGTCCGACAGTGGGCGTTATGGTACGGGGATACAACTGGTAAATCTACAGTGCATCTGGAGAGATTTCGGGGCCTGCTATTAATATTTGCGAGGTGGACGAGATGCCCGAGATGCCTATCCTGGGCCCAGATTCGTCCTCCGCGTCCTCATAGGGAGTTCAGACGCGGTGGCACAGGGTTGCCAGAAGGGAGTTGATCGGTGGTAACTGGTCGTAATAGGTGAGTTGTGATTGAGTCAGTGAGTCAGCCAACGGTGGGGCCCAAGTAATACGTTCCATTGCTCGCTTTACAGTACTTTGACTGCATTTACACTTGCTGGGGAGTCGTCGTGGCGGTGGAGGAGGTTGTGGACCAGAACGGTCGGTGTCGAAGTCAGTGAGTGCAGTGAGTGGTCGAGTCATCAAACCCAGTGCCTTTCACCGCTTCTTCGCAACCCTGTCCAGCCCTGCAAATGTGTTGTATGCCGGCCGCATGGAGTGTGGTACAGGTGCAGGTGCATGCATTACGCTCTGTAGTGTAGATGAGTGAGGGAGCCGATGGGCGATGGGTGAAGCCGAGTACCAGCTAGTACTGGCGACCTAGTCATAAACCATCAAAAATAAACTGCAACCCCAAAGCCCAAACCTCCACGCCTTCTGCCTCCGCACACCCCTCAACCTCAACATCGACCCTCTGGCGAATATTGCAGAAATTACCAGCGCCATCTTCGAACATCGCGGCGACACGAGACAGCAAAAGTTGTGCACAGTCGCATCGAACGAACGAACGAGCATACACTCACTTGCGCTCCCCCACCGCTCAACTCCGATCTTGGATCCCCAACCTTTCTCGCGACGATGTCCTTCTTCTTTGTGCTGTGTTCGCACACTCTCTTCTAGGACTTCCAGAAGACCTAGACACTGAGGAACATATCCAGCCAGCGACTCACCATGTCGTTGCTTGGAAGGTTGCTGTCCGGCGCAGGACCGACAACCTCTGCTCCCAGAAACCCTCTGGACTCGAATTTGGAGGACCAATTCACACACAACTTGCTCTTCCCAGACCCGGAAGCGCTGTGTCACAATGATCAAGTGTTTCCACTGACATCGGGGACGATCCTCACGCCGGCGCCCATCAGCAACTTCGACGTCAATGGCGATATCGACCTCGACATGCGAGACGTACGAGTAATCATCATGCAGGAAGCTACCAACCTCACAGGCTCGGCATATCTACTCTACGACAGTCATACCCCTCCAAAGCCTACTCCACCTTTGGAGCGACAAGCTTCAGACAGTGGTTCGGCATATCCTGCGCGTGCTGGGGGACGTCGGTCAATCAGTTCACCGCGCAAGACGAGTGTTGGGCAGAATTCAAGACCGGTCATTATCCAGCAAGAACCCACGGCGCCTCGTGCTTTTGGAGGCGGCGCATTTGATCGCAGATCACATCACAACAAAACAGCAAGTTACAATGAGACGGAAGAACAGCGGTCGGCGCGGGAGTACAGGGAGGAGATGACCGTCTTCTCAAACTGCATCTTTGGCAACTCGGAGGTGATGGCCTACAAGGGGGCAGGCACGAAAGTTCATATCCTTCCCTCGGAGTCCAGAGCTCCCTTTACATCGCAATCATATATGGCCGACGGCTCCTTTGGTCGTTCCAGTATGCGGAGCAGCAAGTTGGCACAGTCATTCACTTCGGATACTCTCCATGGGCCGACATCGGCAGGATTCAGTCCGAGCACATCAACCAGGGGCCAAGAGAGGAAAAAAGTTTTAATCACACGCATGTTCCCCGTTCCACTACCCAATGATGATGCAGAGGATCCCGCCCAGAATACCACGCCGACACCACAGAATGTGAATTCAGGTGACGCTGCGGGCTACCCCTTTCCCAAGGTTGGTGAGAATGGCACGCACAAGTCTGACAAGAAGAAGCCCGAGCCAAAGCAGAAGAGAACACCAATGTATGCGGTCGGCTTGGTGGTACATTTACCTCCTGCCCCTCACGTTTCCTTACCGCCGGCGTCGAGATCGAGTCTGCGTGGACCTGGTTCTTTCACAGAGCAAGAATCATATCCCTCCTCGTACAACTCGGCTCGTCGTTCAGGCTGGACAATGCTTGGTCATGGTTTCGGAGTCGAGTCGCTCGATTCCTCGTACTCGAGTGATCTTGACGACCGAATAGATGCCATTACTCAGCATTGGGACATCATCATGCGAACGCTTTCTCATCTTCAAGCAGTGGCAACAGCTACGCTATTTCCAATGTTGAAGCAAGCGGACATCAGCTCACCTGACCCTCGACGAGAGCCGGTGCATGTTCGTGCTCCTTCGGCAAGCGTTTCGATATCTGGAAAGCGCGTGATGGAAGACTACAAAGCTTCCAAACCTGCTAAGACTAATATCAAGCTTGTGCAACTGAATTTACACTGCTTGATGCATGTCCCAAAGATTCACAGTGAAGTTGATGCGGCTCGACAACGAATTGTCAGCGGCATGAAGGCAAATCAAGTCATCACGGGCCAGGGAAGGTGGGGCATTTGGAGAGAAGAGGCGAGATTGGTTGGCAAGTGGGCTGGAGGAAAGGATGAAGGATTCTTCTTCTTCAATCTTCTTACTGGTTTTCTGGGAAATCATACCGAATGGCTTCAGGCTCTTGGACCCAGCTGGTACCGACGCCGCCACTATCAACAGCAGAGAGCGAACAAAGACGATGATATATCCCTTCCAGCCAGAACTATCATTGTCTCTGACAACAAGCTCATGGCTCGCCGGCTGGTGTTCCTACTCTCAGCCTTTCTTCCTGCCAACCAGCAACTTCCGTCAGGTCGGCTGCACCGACCAAGTACATCAATGTCATTTGGAGGTTACTCTCAGTCACCTCCAAATTATGCTGTACCGATGCTTCGGGAAGAATCGCTGAGGCGGAGACTAAATAAGCGCACTGGAGTCTCAAAAGGGGCGCACGCGCGAACAATGAGTTTTCCAAATCAGACCATGCAAGGCTCCACCCATCTCGGACCTGAAATCCATCACGATCGTCGGACCTCGGATGCTACTTCAATGAAGACTGCAAACCTTCCGATCCCAGGCAGCGACATTGGGACCAGAAAAAGTAGTGCGGCAGCTACCTCGGCTGTCATCCCTGTTACCACAATGCCTCATTTTTCCACGAGGCCTCCACAGAGAGGCACAGGACCAGCGCCACGACCGGGAAGCAGTGGAAGTCTTGCGACAGATGATCTGTTGCGGTCGCTCAAGCGGGGAGATAGTACTGGTCACTATAGCACTACTTCCAATGAATCGCAAGGTCAGAACTCGCGATGGGGAAGTATGATTAGTGGCTTTTGGAATTCCAAGAGAAGAGATTCGACTGCATCGACCAGTGTTGAACCACTTTCTATAGATGGTCTCGACATCAACGATCCGCAATACAAAGGACCCGAGTCTCCTCAAAAATCTAGCAAGTTAGCACAAATGGTGGAAGAGGCAAAAGAAACTCAATTCAACAAGACGAAAGAGCAACAGGAGCGTGAGATGCGCAAGTCTGAATCTGGGAGTGCATCAACAGCGAGACCTGATGAAGACCAAGGCGATGAGATCCCTGAGCAGATTGTGCAGGCGATGGAACGTATCCCTGATCCATCTGGTGCCTTTGAGTCTCCTGTCAAGACATCTATTAATGAAGAAGATGGAGTCATCGACATCGATGTTCCACTGCCGGATTACTTGTCCTTCGAGACCGCAGTCAGCTCTCCATCAAGCAGTGGATACCTTTCGACTCCTGGATTCGGAAATGGGATGGAAGGGTTCGAACACTATTCACGTGCCGGGCCAGACGTTGATACGACAACAAATGTTGGCGGCTGGCTTCCTCGCTTCCATCCGGATTTTGCTCTTCAGGCTATTCCGGTTCAGGGCGATCTCTTGGAAGAAGTCAAGGCTTCGATGCGCGCAGAGCCAACGCCTATCCTAACGCCAACTCCACAGCCGGATCATGGTCGTGCTGACCGATGGGTCGACATAAGCAGCGCTGTTATCGCAGACACTACCAACTTTTCCATCAAGCGTATCCGTTATATGCGTCTCGTTAAACCAAGGGATGTGGAGAACGCTACACCAAGCATTCCACAAACTTTGGACACAAGATATGGAAACGTCTACAGTGCAGCCCAGCTAACTCCTTCTGTCGATGTGTATGAGAGTCACGTCGAGGAGAAATTTATCGAAGAAGCCATCATTTCCATGGACGAGACACTTATCGAAGCTGTCGAGCGCATCATTGCTCAATCCGGATCTGGTTCCAAGACGTCATCGGTCTGCTCCTCTAGATCAACCTCTCGCAAGGGAGGAAATCGCGAGCGATCAAATTCCGATGCCAAGATTCCGCCAATACCAGAGCATAAACTTGAAGTCCCAAGAAATGAGTGCAAGAAGATGGTTCTTAGTGCATTGGAAGATATAGCCAGAGAAGTGGCTGAGAGTAGGAACGAGCAAGGCGAGGCTCTAATAGAGAGGGAGAGTTTCTTACGGGAGGGAGTTAGGAATTGGCTGTCGAGTGTTGAAACTACTGAATGACGCACTCAGCTCGACAGCTTGGAAGACATGGGACAACCAGAGGATGAGGATCAGATCATAAGCGTGTACCACCACCGACACGACACAAGACACGGCCTTTTCGATACTTTCAACGATACCCACATCATGCGTTTTTTGTTTCGTGGGCTATCATTTGATGATTGCGAATTTTGTACCATAGAGAGAGAAGCGTGCCTTTGCTTTGGTTTGAACTTTGCTTTAAAGTTTGGGATTTAGCGTGGTCGTTTGGGCGTTTTAGCGAGAGATTGGGAGGGCATTTGCATTTACTGGGCTGGGGTCTTATTTTAAGGATCTGCTCTCTGGCGTTTGGTGATGGGATGGAATAAGGCAAACGGGTGGTTGCATAAATGATGGTCCCAGTGGGCGAGCTGAAGATGAATACATGGCATAGAGGAGATGAAATGACAGAAGCTTAGAGAATTCAAACGATTGAACTACCGAATTTTGCATTTCTACTTTGATCTTAACGTTTATTTAGTCTAATATCCTAGTGTCCTAGTGGATTCACACTCACTAATGTTCTTTTACCCTATGCTCGCGCGCAGTCGGAATCGAGCCACGGAGCACTTAGTTCGAAACCCCAAGGCACACTAGGCACCGAGCATATCCACGTAAGACGGTACGTCTCCAGCTCATTCAAGCTATACACCCTTGCTTTAATTCCTGAATAGATATACCTTTCCCCTCTTTCAAATTACAAAGAAATAATTTCTCCTAATAGACTCTACTCTCCCTTCTCACTTACGAAAATGCCTTTCCAAATCCAACCCGCAACCCTGGCCAACGCCCCGGAAATCGGCAAAATGTACCTAAGTCCCTCCCTCCCTAATCGTCTACTCCTTGACTAATTGAGAAAATAAAGGCTCCAGTCGGTCTCAAATTCACCCCGTATAAAGCAGGAATTCAAGGATTGTACGGAGGAGGCGTGGCTAGAGTGGAATGTTAAGGCTGTGGAGGCGGAGATTGGGGCGTGTGGGGGGAGTAAGGGAGAGGCGGAGGCGTTGGTGGTGGTTGAAGGTGAGGGGGGAGAAATTGTTGGGTATGCGGTATGGGGGTGGGGGTTTGAGGTTCGTTCTGTTCGTTCCTTTGAATCATGGTTTTGAAAGAGGGTTGTTTTGAGATATTGTTCTCCACGTAGTGTTCTAGCTGGAATTTCCCCTTTACATCTCTTACCGCAAAGTTGCAACCAGGACATGAAAGTTGGGGCTCCTTTCTCAAACTTGGATTTTGACTAGGTGTCGTTTATCTAGAAAGGATTTTCTTGTCTCAAATCCAGTTCAAAGGGACAGACATTGTAGCATGACATCGTGTCAAATACTTATAAAGTAGTACTAATGAAAGCCCATAGACAAGCCTCTCCATCACGCGTGCAAAAGACGCTGTCCGTCTTCCTGAAGGCTGTAATACCGCCCTCCGACGCTCATTCCTCGCCACCCTCTACAAGATGGAAGCCGAAAACCAACCTCAATCTCCCTTCTACGGTATCTCCTGCTCTCCTCCCCCTTCAAAACGATGCTAACAGAAACCCAGAACTCCTCGAACTAGCAACAAGCCCCAAATTCCAACGTCGCGGCATCGGCTCCCAACTCATCAACTACGGCCTCGAAAAGGCGAAGCAGGACAAAGTGAAGGTTTACTTAAGTGCTGCGCCGGGAGGCGTGCCCGTTTATCGAAAGTTGGGGCTTGAGGAGGTGGGCAGGCTGGAGGTGAATCTGGAGGGATTTGGGGCTGAGGGGGTACATGTTCATGGTGAGTTTCTTTGTTGGTGGGAGGAAGATGGGCTGATGAAGAGTAGTTGCTATGGTTAAGGAGCCGTTGGAGTAGGAGTGAGAGTTTGGATTGATGAGAGTAGCAGGAAGATATGGTGTGACTTAGTAGTCTTGTGAAATGGTAGTCCATGAGATATGTTGATAAGTCAATGTTTACCCTCGGGTAGAGCGCTTCGGGAAGAAAGGTTCTGGCGGGTAAGATATATAATAGTCTATTGCAAATACCTTAATAGTACAAATTGTTTGCGTATTGGGTTCCATCATAGAAGTGTCTGTGCTTGATATAGATTCACCTCAAGAAGAACCAATGAAACCAATCACTGTATAAATATTGACCAGCCAGTGTTAGAAATTTCGATAAACTTTACGTACATTTATGTTAACCTACACAACTATCGGCCTCATCCGAGAATTATATCATACAAGACATGAATAGAATGCGTCCCATACCCGGGTATATTATCCATCAAAACCTGCCACAGGCCAACCAAACTCCCGTGAAATGCACCACTTAAGACATCTTATCCGACTCCGTGATGCTACCTCTAGGACTGTCATTTCCAGGCTTTGCGTTATCCCCACTCATTCCCAGTTGCACACTCTGTCTCCGTGTAAATGGAGGCATTGGACTCCCCACACCGCTTTGTCCGCTGAGACGCATCGGGCTTGGACTCGTATCTCTCGCCAAGATTCCCGGCGGCAGACCCAAGGTTGGAATATTCGAATCGAGCAGGCTGCCAACAAATGGACTTCTGAGCATCGGTGGTGTCGCACTTGGTGGAGTAGATCTTTCTAGTACTTCCTTATAGAAAGATTCCAGCGCCATAGGAGTTCTGCAAAACAGTTCAAGCTCGTTTTTGATAGATTCGGGGGTGGTGACATTAGCTAATTTCGAACCCGCCAGACTGGGACCCAAAACGTCAGAAGTAGCACGCAAGATAGGAGATCCAATGTGATTAGTAGTAGGACGGAGCATAGGAGAATTGACAGGAGTTTGTTTCTCAGACATGATACCGTGGCTATAGACAGATGAAGCCATGCGGACATTACGATCCGCATGGTCGACCTTGACATACCTGTCCCACTCTCTCGCTGCCGCCGTTCGATTATTATAGAGTCGGTTTGCCAGTAGTAGGAAGCTTCCTTCATCGGTAATTTGCGCGAGGACAACTCCTGATCGATGTATATACTGCGTAAACTTGAAATCCGGCTTGCCCCAGGAGTAGGTGACCTCTACGTTATTAGGAAAGTTTCGTGCGGCTTCGATGTCGAGAACAAAGTTGAACTTCTTCATGATGGCTTTTTGATAATAGTGTCGTGTTGCTGGGCTATCTCGAACCTGTGGTCCGAACGAGCTGACGTCAAAGTATGTTCTTGGCTGCTGGTCTGGAGGTTGGGTAGCAAGCTCGATAATATATGGACTCCTGAATGGATGAATCGAGGTGATCGAACAAGCTTCTCCGATTGGTGCTTCGACGAGCCTGAGACCGTAGCGTTCAGCTATTGAGGCCCAAGATTCTATAGCATCTTCTATTAGCTTAGCTGTCACTCCTAACCAGTCGATTCGGATGTGGTAACAGTTATCCGGATTATGTAGGCGATCGTAGTGGAGATTGATTCGTTCTGGGCGGTATGATCGCTTCCGGTGATCTACGTCGTACTTCATGACTTTGCTGAGTGCAACTTTTGGTTTCTTTCCCGCTCCTCCAGCGGTGGTCGGGGTCGTTGCACCAGAGTCGGTAGAACCATCGTCAAAATTGGAACTCGCGCGAGATCTTTCAGGTCGAGGAGAGTCTCTCATCATCGTGTCGGACATTGGTGTTGACGGTATTGAACTAGAGTAGTCCCGACGTCTGGATGCGAACCATCCGCTTCGACTTTCGGGGCGCTGCTTCGCGTAATCTCCTGTGACCTGGTAAAAATACTGACCATCTCTGAACGGATGGCGTTTTTCAACATGAACGAATATCCCTGTGTCTTTCTCTTTGATTTCCTTCCCCATTTCTTTTTCTCTCATCCTCTGTATCTCATCCTTTGCCATGAGCTTGTTTCCAAGCTCGACAGCCTCCTCTCGAGTGTCAATGTCCTCAAAGTTCTCAATTAGCCAAGTAGTCATGTCAGAACCAATGAAACAATTATAATGTAACCTGAAATGCCACCTTCGATTCTGCATTCGAACTCCACCTTTTTCCACGGGAGCTTGAATAGCGTCGGCAAGTCCTGCGATGTCCAGCTTCGATTTTCGAAAGCGCTCTGTCTCCAATAATTGCCCTCGCTTGGATCCAGGTTCGCCAGTCTCAACTAATGGCAGAGTCTCCAATTCAGCGGTCACGACAAAAGACGGGTCTTCCGTTTTGTAGACGATATCTAGAGGATTCGGATCCTTAACTTTGTGTGATGTCTGATTCTGGAAACGACGTTCTGATGCAGGGATGACTCTATGTCGCTGCCACATCTGCGTGAGCTTTTTGATACCCTCTAGTCGAATTTCTTCCTCATTGTCCTCGCCTCGACGTCTTTGAAGAGTTGTAGGCCGCTCGACTGGAATGAGTACAAATCGAGCTCTCCAAAATCTCAGCCCTTCGGACATCTCTTCGTCAAAGCCTGCAATGAAGGCGTCGACATAATTCCAATTGTATTCGTCCTTCGGCCTGCCAAGAATTATCCGACGAGACTCGTAGTCATCCGCTAATGTTGTGCGAATAGCAGGATTGTATATAGCTGGCGTAACGGATCCCGGACTCGATACAGTTGAGGCTGTTGGCTTGCGGACAAACATGTTGACCTCGATCTCGCTTTCGTTAACACACGACAATTGGTGAATAATGCTCCCCATCGACATGAACACACTAGCACCGTCTTCTGCGATGTGTTCCTGGTCGAACACATTAGCAATCTTCAGTGCTTTTTGCCCGAAAGCTTCTGCGACTGCTAGACCAACAACGATCTGGAAGCCTTGTGACAGACGCAGACCAATTAGTTCTCTGAGAAACTCTTCCCTGGTTTTTGGATCTTCGTGGAGTTCATCCTCAACATTTTGCGAGATGTTGTATGGCTTTTGTTGATACTCAGTGTCAAGCTGATGCTTTGTAGGAAAGTATTCCGTTGTCAGAGGGACCGAGGCGGGAGAGCACAAAGACTTCCACTTCATCGTTTTGGTGAGAACTGGTCTTGGAAATACATGTTGCCACCTTCGATACTGACTAGGGCCGACTGCATCGTTTGCTGAAGGATTGGATGGGTTCAATACGCTTAGCCAAGGTGAAAGAGCTGTCGTTGGCGATAGTGTTGCGGGTAGCTCAGGAACAGATCCCGCGAGAAGCTTGGAGGTGAAGATTTTTTGGTTATCATCTGGTCGCATCGAGAAATGAGCTCCATTCGCGTCTTCCTGCCTGTCGGGGGTTTCATACAGCGAGCCAAGCACTGACCGAGACTTGAATTGGTTTGTGGAATCTAGTGACTGCAAAGCACTCCTTATAGTCATAGGTCGACTTGACTGAATGGGTTCTGCAATAGGCCCTTCTAAAGGCGCCCTCAACTCTGGTGGTGGGGTGGCTATCTTCGATCTGGGCTTTTCACTCTGCGATGACGATGGGCGCTCCTGGGCCTGTGATGCTGCAGAAGCAAGGTAGTGATTAGCCATATCACTGTTGATGTTTTTATGCTTCGATCCCGATAGATCTGAGGTCGTGGACGCTGGCTTCGCTGCACTAGCGTTTTCGATATGAATTTCTGCCATAACAGCCTTTGGAGCGGCGATTCCGAATCCATGCTTCCCCAAGCTGATCTGCCGTCCGAACCTGGGTGGTTTAATTGGTGATACTCGTGAAGAAGGTGTCATGGAGCTTGCCACGCTACCTTTCCGTACCTTGGAAGTATCGCCTGCTTGTTTCTTCTCCTTCTTGGTACTATCGGTTGTTGAACCAGGGAGGAAATGAGCAGCTTTCATGGTACCACTTTCATCTTTGAAAGAGTTGCCGAAAACTTTTGGGTCCTCGGCAAGAATCTTCCTGGCTGCTTCCTCACTTCCAGTTCTATATGATCTCCTTGCTTCATTACTAGGGTGGTCCATGAAATGGTCATCCGTCAGCTCCGATCTTGCTATGTCAAACATGTCCAGCGTGTGATGAAATCTTCGCTCTTCATGAGACGGGTGGCGATCTAATAAAGGCTTCGACGGGCCGTTGACAAACTCCAGGAGACTCGTGTAACTTCGGTCCCGCCGAATCAATATAGCGGCTTCATCTCGACGTAGGCGTTCGCCAGGGATTTCGCGAGATCCTAGGATCATGTGTGGGAAGATAGTGTCGTGCTGGAGAGGTGTCACGGCAATTTCGGTCATTACATTCTCCATGACGCTCGCCATTTCCATCTCATACATTTTACACCTAACCTCGAAATCTGTTGACCCCGAGTATGAAGTGGTGTAGCTGTGCTCGAGCGGAATTGCCATATCATCATTTTTGATGTGTGCATCTTCAGAAGCTCCCGTCCAGAATGAAACGTCGATCCAGTGTGGTATAGCATATGACCACTCACTCGGAGGAGTGGCTGCTGTGAAAGAGCCAGTACGCAGACTCCGATCAGGCTGTGAGGCTTTCACAGGGGACAGAGAATCATTAAGCGACGAGAAACTACTCCCAAACATTGCTGCAGTCTGTCGAGGTGTACTGTCTTCGCTACGAAGTGTCTTGAAGTGGATAGCCTCCTGGAATGCGGCATACTGTGGGTTTCGATAGCGAAATATAGGTACTGAATGAAGCGGCATCTTTGGCAAACATACTAGATCTATGCCAATGCCATTGTTAATGAGACTCTCCGTCGTCAGTCTCAAAGTCTCGTAGTCTACCTCGAAGATTCCAGGGCACGGCGTGATGACAACGACGGATATGCCAGTCCTCATCAAGTCTCTATCGATGTAATCGTGGGCGAACTGAGAAGACGCAAGATTGATCGCTTCAAGAACATTTCCATGCATGGCTAGGGAGGGTTCGGCTTCAATACGTGTTCCCAGTACACCCCTTATGTTACTGTCTGCAGCTGGACCAATAGTAGTCCCTGTATTTATTCGATGCATGGAAATGTCTTTCCGAAAGAATTTGAACTCGCGTTTCAGCTGGTACAGTATCGTGGTCCATGATCCACTAGCCATCTCACTGACAACAACTCTGTAGAAGTCCTTGTAGGGTCTCTTGTTCCCATCGGTCTGAACGCCTGTATGGTAATCACTGTCGCGAGCGCTTAATGCGAGCTCTGATGAGATCCCAACGTCGTACTCTACCCTTGTGAAAAGTACAATGCTAACGAGGTGTTTTGCTTTTAGTAAAGCCCACTTCTTGAAAAGCGCTGGGAGAAAGCCATTGACAACTTTGTTGAACATGATCTCACCAGAACCTTCAGAGTCGAAGTCCCACATTTCTCTCGACATTTGAATGAATAGAACGTAACGTGCCGACTCGCTTCTGAATATGGGCTTGGTGTTGGTAGAAAAGAAGGCGGACTGGACCTTGCGCCCATCCACGTAGACACAACTCACTTGAGCTTTGATAGTGCCCATGAAAAGTACCTTTTGTCCTTTATAAACTGTCTTATTGCCGAGCTCCCCAACTGCTAGTCTCCACATGTCGGATCTGGCAAGATATTGATCTTTAAAACTCAGTTCAACATGAGATGCAGAGCTGAGAGCTACATCGGTCTTCAGGAGAGTCAGTGGAGGATCACAATCGAGAAAGGAGAGTACAGACCGTAGTCAACAATACATTAGAACGATGTTTGAGACAAAAAACATCCGCTATATGTTTCGCTACTGAAACTTCTAGGGTTGGTTGTCTTGTCTTCATTTCCTTCGGCATGTCCTTCGCAATAAAGAGATACCTGTTCCCGACATCCACGTCGTGCTTGACATCATTGGGATTCGCGGTGCCTGGACTTCTAGGATTGGAATTGCTGTCTTCTCGCTGCATGGCTGTTCCTAAAACCTCCGGCTCTATTTTCGCGAATTGGGCTTTGTCTTGAAAGTCTCGAACTCCAGAGTCGGTTTTCAGTGCGACAACAGCCATGAGTTCGCCAGGTTTGACGTTTGGAAACAAGTCGAGATTGAGAACCACCTCGTCCTTGGAGTAGCCCTCGTCGTGAACCCATATTGTGCACCGTCTCTCGATGCGCACTTTCGAAGGTGTGGTATCGTGGTGAAGTGTGCTGCTGTCCGAGGAAGTAACAGGACGGCTGTTAAACATGATGTCTGCACTGCCATTGCTCACTTGACGGAGATGGGACGCCCGCTGGGTCCCACGGCGGGGGGTCGAGGGGAGGATTGGAGGCATCGAAGTTGTAAGCCTTAAGGCTATCCAACCTTCGTCACATCATATTTGATGGAGGAACATGTTGAATTTGAAGAGCTACAGACATCCAAGAATTCTGCAGATGAAGATAACTTGACCGCCCTAGCTCATCGCCCAATACGGTATCGCGGGGTATCGGCATCTAGTAACATATTTCTCCGACAATGCTATCAAAAAAAAGAGTTCACCATAGCATAAAAGTGCATGAGAAATGCGTCCAACAAGCAGACACAATTTCTACCAGATACAATGGCTAAGCGGCCTGCAGATGAGGTGGTCGATGGCAACCAGGCCTATTTGAAACGCCAGAAGATTACACAAGCTACAAAACAAACGCCGACGGAAGAGATTCGTTCTGCAAGACAACTACGGCAGATTCTTGCCTTCGACCAAGATGCCCTCAGATTGAAACATGGTAAATATTCCTTCGTTTCTCAAAAATGTCCTAATTACTATGCTGAGTATATGACAGCAATCCATACTTTCAAAGCATTCCTAGACAATTTCGCAAATCACGAGAACGACAAAGCTCTCCAAGCCGCAATACTCAAAGAATATCTCGAGTCGCAAAAGCCTTCGGATGAGAATGACAAAGACGCTGTGTTCTTGAACGATCTCATGCAGACATGGAGCTTCGCATCCCAGTCGAACGACGAGAGTCTGTTGTCCGCTGTGCCTGCTGTTCTTGCGCTATTGCTCAGAACGATATCTGGATCGCTGGATTTGTCTGAATATGGCTTGAGGCTTGGACGAACACTTCTCCAAAAGCGACAAGGAGAACTCATGTCTAGAGGTCTGACTGCCAACAAGGTCAAGGGTTTCTTGATTTCTCCTGTATTGAGGATGCTGAGAGAAACCTGCCTCTTCGATGGAGGGGTGCTCGCAAGACAGATTTTCCAGAAAAGGGACTTCACTCTGAAAGCACTGGCTCGCAATCTATCCCTTCGATACGAAGGCGATGGTGTCGAAGATCTTAAGAAGCCTTCCGTACGCACGAATGCGCTGAGGTTTCTACTAGCAATGATCAAGTTTCTTCCTACAGAATCGAAGCGGGAACTACTCAATCAAAGGGACATAACGTCTGCTATCACCAGGGATATCAGAGATGATCCCCCATTCATGGTTCGTGACACATTGGAGACTTTGAAACTTCATATTTTACTGGATGAAGGCCTTCCGAGAGATGCTAAAACGAAGATCGTCAATGCTACCTCCTTGGGACGAATAGCTCTGCTCTCTCGCTATAATCAGCTCGAAGAGGATTTAACTTTAGAAGCAAGAACGGTAGATACCATCGCTCACGACTTCCTTACGTTGGCCTGCACGTCTCCCGATATGGGAGTACTTTTGCGCCAATCCGGGTTTTATCCTCGAGGTGTTGATCCAGATGATGCACAAGATCTCGAAGTAGAAGGTCCGTCAATAAATTTGGGCCTTGACAGTGTCGAGTGGATGGAGAAGTTTACTGGGAAAGTGCCTGTACGAAATACGATCTTGTCAGAATTCATCCAGAATTTACGCCCTTGGTCCAACAAAAAACAGGGCGAGCTCCTGATATCAATTCTGAAATGTGCTCCCGAGTTAATCGCTGATTACTTCTTCGGCAAGAAAGATTTCTCCTTCGACCCCAAGCTCACAACAACATGGATAGGCTACTCCGCCTTTATCTATTCTTCACTAAACCTTCCCATTCCAAAGTTTTTCGGCTATCAAGAACGCTATGCAAAACTTCCTCCACCTCCTGCCATTATCTTGGAAAGTGTCCTCCCTCAACCTCTCGGTCAAAAAGTCATGACTCGATGCTTCACTCAGCCTCACAACACACTCATCACATTCTTTGCTGCTAGGATACTGTGCGTTGCACTTCAGAAATTCCAAGATATCTTACGCATGTACCACGAGGCTGCAAAGGACAGTGCATCTCAGCTATGGGTCCAAGCAGCGGAAAGGTTGACCGAAGATTTTTGTAGCAGATGTCCACCTATCAAAGATGTTATTCTCGCCTTTAGGAGAATGAACAGTGATGATCTGATGCAAAAGGAGGCGATTGCGAAACTTCTCGTGCTGTACTACGAAGTTGCTCCGCAAATTGCATTAGATGCCAAATTTGGAGTCTCGGCAGCTCTAGCAGACAGTTTGCAAGCATTAGAGGATACTTCTCTTAACGACGAGAGCCGTGCCTTACGTTCTCTCGAAGTCGAACATCTATTCGAGTTTGCTCATTTCTCGCCCGGCATGCGCTGGTTTAACCGAACGCAAGATGCCTCGGTCACACCTTTTATGGGAATGCTAAAGCTGACGGCTGAAGCGCCTGTGATTTTGCCATTGCTCAAGATCAGAGATGTGCTATACTCAATTGTTGCGGAAAATCAAATTTTCCAGAGCCAAACATTAGTTTCTGCCCTCGAGACCTTCATTGTCAGGCTTAGAGCGATGAATGGGTCATGTGCGTCATCTGCCTTGTACAGTTTCTTGGATGATTGTATATCACGGTGTGCTGCTAAGCCTATCAAGTACCTCTTTGCACTTGATGAGCTCTCGGTGGAAATTTCAGCACAGAAACAACACCCCACTATCAGTCTGTTAACGTTGGCAATGGTGGAACAATGGCCATATCTCGTGAAATCTACCGATGATATGGTGTTACAGGAAATAGCACGATTCCTGGCAGAATGGATAGGCGCCTCAATCAAAATCAAGGAGGACAAACATATTCTGAAGACGCTGATACAAAGTTTTACCGCAGCGCTGCCTGAGACATCATCAGCTCGAAAGACAATCACAGAAGCCCGCAAGTTGGTCGACGATATTGATATACCGGAGCCGAATGTTACAACATCAGAATTGGAAGACGATGCAAGACCAAGAATATCCCTGGACGCTGAGCATGCTGTGTTACTGGCCACAATGAGGACGGATTCACTTGCGTTGGATGAAGATTATAGATCATTAGTGAAATGGATGACCAAAGAGGTCGACGAAGTGATTGAAGATGGGCATACAAAGGCACTGATCAGGCTCTTGTCCTCGGAGCATTTGAGTGTTCGGAAAGAAGCTCTGACGAATATATCGAAGTTCGCTACCAAACTCAAGGCATCCTCATTCGAGGAGAAGGAACAACTATGGCTACTACTTTCCGAAATTACTGAGACTGCCAAGAAGACTATCGATCAGGGTCCCTTACCAACTTATATCTCGGCTTTTGCTGCAAACGCCATAGTAGTCTTGAAAGACCCTCTTCATATCCTCTACGCAAAGATGAACAAATTTCTATCGAAAGGCCCGACCTGGCAAGTGGATAAACTCCCAATGATGCACAAGATCCTCGATGAAAAACCCACCTTGGATGATACACACCACGTGGAAGTCGATTGGCTCCTGAATTACATGCTCGCTGGTCTTCGAACGGAGGCGGACATGGCAGTGTATCGCAGGCAGTTGGTGTTTGAGAAACTGCTTTCACTCTACAACAGCAGATATTTACGGGCAAATTTGCGTGATGGCGTCCTCCGGATAGTCCTCAGAGCCTCAAACATCAGCGGGGGTAGCACTACACTGATAACGAGATTCAGCACCATGACCTGGCTGCATGCACAGGCTGCGCTTGGTGGAGGGTTGCCGATAGAAGTGGTGGTCAAACAGATCATGGAGTCATGTGATCCGGATAGAGTTTCGAGATGGAAAAGAGGTCTGAAGCTGGCGGTTGAAACATAAAAGTTCAGAGTAGTATAGATCGATAATCTTTAGATACCCAAATGTTGAATTCCGTATGATTATACATCATGAAAAGATTTTGATACTGCAGGGTTGGTCCCCTGACCAGTCTGATAATGGGCGTTCTAAGGCTTTGCTCTTTAGCGTCGTGGATAGAATCACATCGCAATGTACCTACTGTTGCTGCGTTCTCAACGAAACCCTGTACCTTACCTACCTTACCTACACAAAGAAATCAGTAAATTGATACCAACCTCCTCGGCGACTCTTCTACAACCAGTATTGACAATTACAAAACTCAGGCGCGAGCGCCGTTACCACTGGTCGCATCAAATCCCAAGATCTTCCTCCATCCATCCCCACACTGTACACACGACCTCTTGCTTCGAATCGCGCTTTGCGCCTCGCGCTACAGCTAACTTGACGAGACGATATCTGCCCTTCTTTCTCCAAACCCCGCGAATATTTCACCTTCGACTTCAAAAATAAACAGTTGCTGTCTGTACCCACCACAAGCTCGCCTTTATAGCGAACACCTCGACCTCTCTCTCTTCTACGACCTGCCGTGTTGTTTTGCACCACACATTGAACTTGAGCTTGCCATACCACCCTTCGATATCAATGGAAGGCAAACAGGATGAGCCTACTGCTCGACCTCGGCGATACAATGTTGAGGAGTTGAAATACCTTAAGGATTCTCCACACGTGGTAAAGCCACCAGGCCTTCCACCAGCAGACCAATGGATGGGGTAAGACTGCAGATCTGGGGGATTGACTGCTTCCTTCATTGACACCTTTACAGACCACCGGCAGATACTACGCGTAATTCGACCAAAGCAGGTGCTGATCGAAACAAGAACCACGACTCTAATGCACTTCTAGACCAAACTCCCAGACGTCCTGGCACTGAGAGACACATCTCACGCAATAGTGCTAGTAAGCAAAGGTTTTCTCGCTCACTGCTCCCTTGCTGATATATTGGGCAGATCCTGAAGATATCATCCTTGGCCCCCCAAAGACTTCCTTCCTTTCTGCAACACCCTTCAGAAACACTGGCAAGAACTTCGACTCTTCAGATCGTCCAACGTTAAGAGATGCTGATTCTCGAGATCGATTCAACCTCCGTTCAAAGGCTGAAGGCGAAGTTGAGCGAACGCGAGAGGGCAGAAACAATCTGCGTCCGAAGCGGGCAGAAGGAGACCAGGATAGTGATGGGTGGAGCACTGTTAAGCCTAGGAAGAGTTTTGGCACAGAAGGCGCTGAACGATTCAATGGGCGCATGGGTCTAGATCGACACAGAGACGATAGGAGATTCAAGGATCGAGAAGATCGTGATGCGAAGGACAGACCACGAGGCTTTGATACATTCTCTCGTGACAACAAAGATGGCGGTGATCAAGAGCAGGACCGAGATTCACGCAAGAATGGAACTGGTCGCGGTCGCAATGAACCTTCATGGTTTCGAGACAAGGACACCAGTGATGCGCCCCCAAATCCCAGAGACCGCAATAGCAATGGTGACAGATTCGCTGATCGGAGTAGAGGCTGGAGGGACAAGGACCGTGATGAGAAAGTCGAGAGAAGCGATCGTGGTGATCGACGTTGGGACAGGGACCAGCGTCAAGAGCGCGAACCTGAATGGATGGATGAGCCTGCCGAGGAAAAGAATGAGAAGAACAACAAAGCTCATTCTCTGGAAGAGTTCAAGAAATGGAAGGAACAGATGTCAGGAAAGGATAAGGCTGGAAAGCCAGCAGCGGAAGAGGGAATTGCTAAGCCTGATGCCCCATCATTCTTCGGTCTAGAGAAGAAGGTCCTTACTCCGATGGAACTGGACACGGTTCCTGACAAGTTCTTCGGGAAGTGGTCAACTCCAAAAGATGAGGTTCCTCCTGAACTAGGCCCTGAGCTGAAGAAAGAAAACGTTGTCAAGTCGAAACCAACGGGGAAGGCTTCCAGATTCACCTCGTTCTTCAATCAAGATGAAGCACCACGACGCCAAACAGAACCTCCTGCTATGCCACCACAAGTACCAAGTACAACTGAGGCCGGCCCAGCTACGCAACAGGATGAGAAGCAAGCCTTTGCCATGTTGCTCCAGAAACTGCATTTGGGAACCCAAGGTGGCGCTTCTGGTTCTACGCCTCCTGCAAATCCGGCTTTGCAACCTCGACCTCCACCTGTCGAGAAGGCTCAACAGAACGGACTTGGCCCAGAGTTGTTCCAGCAATATCGCCCCGAGCGACAAGAGGAAGTCCGGACAATACCCCGCAACTCTCAAACACTCCAGGATCTGCAAAATCAACGACAATTAGCTAGCAGTCAGCCAACAGGACGACCAAATAGTGCAGAACAATTGTTGCAAGACTTGGTTGGCCAGCGCCAGAATACTCTAAGCCAATCATCTGCAAGACCCGGTCATCCACAAAGACGCGATACTCAAGCCGATTTTCTCATGGGTCTAATGAAATCCGCTCCAGAGCCTCAACGATCAGAGCAAGTTCTGTTAGGAATCCCTCCAAAACAGAATGATCGCCAAATGCAGCAGATCTTGGATCGTGAGCAAGAAATGCACAGGGCGGCCGTGCAGCGTGAACGAAGCGCCTCGCAACGTCAAGTCCGCCCTCAACCACCACCGGGCTTTTACGATGAACAAGCCTTCCAACGTGGCCCCTTACCTCATGAGCGACAGCCTCAACCGACGCAAATCCTTGCTCGACCACCCCCTCCAGGTCTGGATCTTGGTTGGGATCGTCAACCTCAGCTTCCTCCGCAACACCGAGTCGCCCAAAACATTGCCCCTCCTCCTGGACTGGCAAATGGACCGACTCGTATGCCAATGCCTCAACAAATGTTTCCACCATTTCCTATGGGAGCTTTCCCTCCTCCGGATGTCATGGCTGGACCTCCTCGAAATATGCAAATGCAACCACCCCCCGGATTCTATAACCCACCACCTCCAGGATTCATGCCACCAGGTATGAGTGGATTCCAAGGACCAGATGGTATGGCCTTCGGTGCGCCGTTTGATGGCAGAGGACCTCCTCCCCAAGGCGCTTTCAGACGACAATAGATGCAGGATACAACGTGATAGTGTGCATGTACTGTAACTATATGGTATTTGGGAAAGAGCCACCGCATTTGCCTTATTAGGAGACAAATGACACTGACATGTATCATGCAATTTTATGTCTCTAACGTGATGTGATGTATTGGGCTTTAAAAGATTCTGTCTGACTAATCATCCTTTTCAGCAAGTGCTGGTCTCTGACGTTGATTCGAAATTCACGGAGAAGTTCGCAAAGATATGGTAGGTTTAGAGTCATTTCAAGGGCCCTTTCAGCATTTAGATGTGACAGCACGGTGGGAAGCTCAGTACGTAGACGAAGAATCGATCCGGCTATCTCTTAGAATCTAAAGGTAAAGAAGAGAAGAGGAATGAAAGAAGGAAAGATCTGTCTATATATATGCCAAGGTAAAGGGATGTCATGTGAGGAGCTAAGCCCCATTAGGCTTAGAGCTCGGGAACGCCACCATTCCCGGTCTGTCGCAGGCGATTAGGCAGGCGACTGGGCAGGCGATTAACTCAGGCGATCCGTAACAGCTGGTGCTGTGACATTAGATGGAGACGCAAGCGAGTCGTTGCCCTGAAAGGGACCAGCAGAACGAGCTCAGTAATCTCCGACCATTTTTAGGACAGCTTCGGAGTGCCGCTAATTTAGGCGGTTATAAAAAAGTTTTTAAATATATAAATCATTTTGCAAAATAAAATAAAATGCTTTAAAATAAAATATATTTTGTTTAATTATTATTATATTAAATTCTGAAATAAATTTAATATATAATAAAAATTTAAAAATAATATGTCACGGTTATGGAGTCACGTGCCCGCTACGAAATGCTCACGTGACCGCTCGCCTGTATATATGCCCTGCCTTCCGGCGCTTCCTTCCTTTTGTCACGACTCTCTCCTTACCCTGGTAAGGTCACGTGGGTTGGTATGGTGAATGAAGTAAGATAAGGCAATGATATTGTAGTTAGGAAAACTTAATCAAGTTGAGTACGAAGCTCCTACCTATGGCAAAAGTGCCAGTCATATATAGTTTTCTCATCCCCTGGAGTCCGACTCCCTTCTGGAGTCTAGGAGTCCCGGGGAGTCCATCGGTGTTACGGACCACCTGGATCGCCTGGCTAATCGCCTGTCACCTGACCTAATCGCCTGCCTAATCGCCCGCGACAAAGGTCAGGCCGGGAATGGTGGCGTTCCCTAGCTTTAAGCCTATTGGGGCTTAGCTCCTCACATGACATCCCTTTCCCCTGGCATATATATATCTAGATCTTCTCCTCTTTCATTCCCCTTCTCTTCTTTACCTTTAGATTCTAAGAGATAGCCGAATCGATACTTCGTCTACGTACTGAGCTTCCCACCGTGCTGTCACAATCGGACTCCTTTGGACTCCACAACGTGACCAAGTCCCCTCGCTTACTGAGCCTATAGTCCACTAGTCCCGTGACTGTGACACTATCCCCCATTCCTCCTAGTGCAGTCCCGTGTGCATAACTAGTGTAAGGAAATATTCTGTGGTTGCCATGCTCCCTCTCTCCTTTCTATTATGCCACCCCGCCAGCGATCCGCCAAAGCCCTTCTTACCGAAAAGAAGGACAAGCAGCGTCTCGACCTGGCAATACTAATCGAAGAGACTAGTGACGCGATGGACCCGTGCTCCTACTGCAAGACTGAGCGCCGGAAGTGTATCGCTGACCTCGGTGGTGACTCGAAGCGCTGCTCCGAATGCATCCGCGCAAAGCGCCGTTGCAACGTGGGAGTTCCTCTTGCTGACCGTTGGGACGACGAAGTCCCAAGCGCCAGTGACTGGTCCACTGTCGACAAGCAAATAGATCAACTGGAATCACAAGAGGATGAAGCGATGGCGAAAATCCTTCGCCTTCGGAAACAAAAACTCTTGTTGAAGAAAAGAAAGAAAGAGATGATGCGTTGTGGTCTGCGATACCTCGACGAATTGGATTCTGTGGAGGAGAAGGAAAGGCTAGAGAAGGAAGAGCGGGAGCGGGCCGCAGCCTCGTCTCTAGCTGCCTGAGAACCTTCCAACATCAATTGGAATGCCCTGGAAGCGTCTCTCCTTCCTGCTCCTAGCGACCCTTCCGCCCCTGTTCCCTCCTGGGAAGGCCTGGATACCGGCGGTGGAAGTCAGTCAGGATCTCAGGGCAGCTGAGATTCGATTTGGGCTCCCAAGTGTTCTCTGACTGTGGGTATCCTTGCCACTTGATCAAATACTTGATCCTCCCTCTGACATACTTGCAATCTAGTATCTGTTCTACCTCATACTCGGCATCTGGGTTGACTGGGTCGATCTCGACTTGAGGAGCCGGCGGCGCTCCCGGTGGCGCGAGCTCGAGAAGTGATATGTGGAATGTTGGGTATATCCTCATGTTCTTAGGCAACTGCAATTCATAATTAACAGGTCCTTTCACCCTTTTGATCTTATATGGCCCAAGCTTCCTGTAATCGAGTTTGTCGCTTGGTCTCTTGGTTTTGATGTTTTTTCTGATCAAATATACCCTATCCCCCTCTTTTAGCGTAGGCTCCTGGCTACGCCGCTTGTTGTAGTAGTGCGTAGTGCGCTCAGAAACAAACTGTAACTCAGAGGCTAACTGGGTGTGTAGTTCCTTGATCTTAGAGACACGGATCCTAGCCAGGTTATTGTCGATGGCTATGATGCCTGGTTCTCTGTATGCCACGGGTTTATAACCGAAGTTGGCATAGAAAGGTGTTTCTTTCGTGGTTTCTGTGGTTGAACTGTTGTACGCGAACTGGGCGAGTGGTAGGAGTGCTACCCAGTTGTCTTGTTGGTAGTTGACATAGCATCTTAAGTATGCCTCGACTACCTGGTTCATTCTTTCGTTTCCTCCGTTAGTCCACAGATGGAACGCAGTGGTTATCTTCCTCTTAATCCCCAGGGCGGCCGTGAGGGCGGTCCAGAATTTAGAGGTGAAGAGCTTGTCTCGATCTGAGAGTATCTCTTCAGGTAAGCCGTGTCGGCTGACCACTTCCCTGAGGAAAGCATGGGCAAGCTGTTCGGCTGTACTTGCCTCTTGGTAGGGCACTAGTATCATGTACTTCGTGAGTCTTTCCATGATGACTAGGATTGAGTCGTACTTGACTCCTGATACCGGATCTTCAGATAGCGGGAGCTTCGTAATAAAGTCCCACGATATTGATTTCTAGGGGGTGTCCGGTATGGGGACTGTCCCCATTAATCCGTATGGTGCGAGGCGACTTGTCTTGTTTCTAGCACAAGTGTCGCAATCCTTGATAACTTTCTTGACGAGGGCTCTCATTGACGGACACTAGTATTCTCTTGAGAGTCGGAGGAAAGTCCTTCGCTCTCCTTGATGGCCATAGGCCGGTAATCCGTGTTGTTCCCTTACGACTTCTTCCCTAACACTTAAGGGGAGGTAAATCTTCCCGTCGTGTGTAAGTAGTCCTCCGGGCGTCTTCTTGAAGTACTGAGAGACGGAACCTGCCATCGGGTCCGTAGTATAAGCCTCCCTGATACGGGCCTCCAGCGGAGTCCCATCCAGGCGTCCTAAAGAGGCTATTTCCCTGATCGCCGGTGCTAAGTCCCCGTTGTCGAGGGTACGAAGCAAGGGTTGTTCATCGTACACTTTATCGCTCTCGTATCCAGGTTTCCTGCTAAGGGCATCCGCCCTCGGGTTCTGCGTGCCCGGCACGTGCTTGATCCTCAGATCAAAGCTAGCAAGTTCCTCAGACCATCGTGCCAACCTTCGATTGTCAAAGACTTTAGTGGTCGTAAAAGCCCGAAGATTCATATAGTCGGTGTGGATAGTAACTGGGAACTTGGCCCCTTGGAGGTACACTCTCCAGTGCCTGAGTGCCTCTACTATTGCCAGAAGTTCTTTCTGGTAAATATCGTAGTTCTGCTCTGCGGGTGATATTTTTTTAGAGAAATACGCGACAGGGTGTAGCTTCCCGTCGTTAGCCTTCTGCAAGTGCACTGCCCCCATAGCCGTGTCTGATGCGTTGGTTTCGACGATACTTTCTCGGTCTTCCCTGTACTGCTAGAGTATTGGTTCTTTCGAGAATCTTGACTTTACTTCCTAGAAAGAGGCCTCCGCTTGGGATGTCCATACAAACGGGACATCCTTCTTAGTGAGTGCTGTAAGCGGTTCTGCAAGCTTGGAGAAGTCTCGGATAAACATTCTACAGAAGTTGGCGAAGCTCAGGAAGGACTGGACGTCCTTGACCGTCTGGGGAGACTGCCACTCTCTTATCTCCTGTATCTTATCCGGATCGATTGATACTCTCCCTGGCTCAATGACGTACCCCAAGTACTTCGTACGGGTGACTCCGAAGTCGCACTTCTTGAGTTTGAGCCTGGAGCCGACCTTAGAGAAGGCCTCGAGGACCAGGCGTACGTGCCCCTCGTGATCCTCTTTCTTTTGTAAATACACCAGAATGTCATCTATATAGCAGACTACGAACTTGCCCAAGTATTCCCGCAGAATATTCTCGTTCTGCCGTTGGCATGTGGCTGGTGCGTTCGTAAGTCCGAACGGTATGACAGTGTATTCCCATAGGCCAGAAGGCAGCAGAAAGGCTGTCTTCCATTCGTGGCCTTCCTTGATCCTGATCAAGGCAAAAGCTGTGTTCTGGTCTAGCTTCGTGTAAATGACTGCCGACCCAATCGCATCTCTCAAACTCTGGAGATTGGGTAAGGGATACACGTCCCTTACCGTAGCGTCGTTCAGTCCTCTGTAATCCACACAAGGCCGCCCCTTTGGATCGTCCTTCTTGTGTGCGATCAGCATATTCGATGCTACAGGGGACTTGGATTCCCTAATCCATCCCTTTGCTAACGCTCTTTGCACGTACTCCTCGAGTATACCCAACGTCTGCGGGTTGTGCCGGCGAAGCTTCTGGCAAGGCGGCTGCTTGCCTTCTTTCAGATTGATCTCGTGATCCCAGGGCTGATGTTTGGGCAGGGCCCTCAAGTCTTCGGGGTCCTCAAACAACTCAGCGTACTTCCTATAAGGATAGGGTATTCCTTCCCGTCCCTAGTCAAGCTGTCCAGTGTTTGCTTGATCCTGTGCCTCAGAGGCCGTGGTACTAGCCTCCCTGGGTCCTTGTAGTCATTCGTTTGGGCAATCACACCGATTAAGCCTCAAACTCTGTTTCGTCCAATCGAGTTCTGGGTTGTGCTTCCATAGCCAAGGAATCCCCAGGACCATCTGGTGTTGACCAATCGGGGCAATGTCTAAGACAATCATCTCGACATGTCCCTGTATTTTCATTCGTAGGGGGTTTGTCTTATGTACGACCCTTCCCCCGTCTTGAGCGATAGCTGTCTCGTCTATCGTGCTCAGCGAATATAGCTCATCCTTTGGCCAGGCCGATAGTCCTAGCTAGGACACTGTCTCCCTGGAGATATAGTTCCCTTGAGCCCCTGAATCGAGCATGACTAGGACCGAACTGCCCTAGACAATCGCTCGTATGTGGAAGTGATTCGTACTTCCCCGCACCATCCTGACAGTTGCACTCAGCTGCCTTGGAGGTGGAAGTGTGAACCGTACCGAAGCTTGTCGTCGGCTTTCCACTGTGTTGATTTCCGTTACCCTTTGATTGGTATACTGGCATTCCCATTCCTTTAGGGCCGTTGTCCACTCAACGAGCCTATAGGGGGTCCTTTTGCGCAAACGTGCCCCAAGTGGGTTATCTTGCCTTTGCATAGCGATCCGTGCCTTGTATCCCTCAAAGGGTGGGAATACCACCTCCCTCCATACCCAAAGGTCTGCAGAGTAGGCGATTATCTCCCATATTTGCCCTACTTCCAGGATCTCATCCAAGGTCTGGGTCTGGTCCTCCTTCCCTGAGAAATACGAGACGTGCACTGGCGACCGAGCCCAGGTTGTGCGGAAAGCGATTCTCCACGCATCCCGATATACGACGGTATAATATATCCCTGTCTCAGGCAGATCCATTCCGCTCCGCAGCAGACTCTCATACTCGCCCTTCCTCCCGTACTTCGGTTCCCAGGTCACTGAATGTCCACCAATGCTGGCGACGATCCATTCCTCGTTGACCTCAGGGAGAGGGTCTGTGGGAGCCTCAGCCAATTCAACTTCCCCAAGTTGATGGTTTTCCCCTTGGACGCTCCTCTCAACTAGGGTTCCTGATTCCTCTGACCCGTCGTCAGAATCATAGAGTTCTGGCGTGCCGTCTTGAGGTCCCCACTAGCCGCTGTCTGAGCCTGGCTGAGTATCGTGCTCCCATTCTTCCATGCGATGGGTAGCATTGGCTTGTCTCAAGGTCTCGGTTTCCTTGGTGGCGTTGGCCTGCTTGCCTTTTCCCTTGTTGTGGGAAGATGCAACGTGGCCAGGCAGTCCACACTTGTAACAGAGTCCCTTCTCTCGACGTTCCTTCCTAACTTCCGGCAAAAGCTGCTTCCTGGGTCTCTTCCCATGAAAGCCTCCTCTTTTACTCTTCCTCTGGCCTCTGGCTGTGGTTGCGTCGAGCTGCATGGGGTCCCCCTTGTCATATGACTTTGGGGAACCTTGTGGTTAGCGATGGGAGTACACCCCTTTTCGCTCAAGGCGCCTCTCGTAGAACCGCTCGTCGAATTTTGCTGCTAGGCGTATGGTTTCCTGGAGGCTGGTGGGCTCTGGCTCCACTCGGGCGAGCTCGTCCTTGATGAACTCCTTGAGGCCCATGTAGTACGTTCTTTTTAGAGCCTTTCCATCCCATCTAGCCTGACTAGAATACTGCTGGAACTTAGAGGTGTAGTCCTTAACAGACCCTGTCTGTCGCAGCCTCATCAATTCCCTTTCAGCCGTTTTCTCGACTTCCAGATCCCCGTAAACCCCCACTATGGCCTTCTTGAATCCCCCAAACCCTCTGAAGATGACTTTAGTCTCTTCCCTTGCGCTGTTGAGGATCGTTCCAGTTGTTGCGTGTCGATTAGTCATATAGTCAGACAAGTAGGCCTTGAACCAGTTGAAGGCTGGTCCCCTTAGGTAGCTAGCGGCAAAAGCTACCTTAGCCCCCTCGCTAGGGAACAAGTGTGGGTTGAACATTAGATAGATATCCATGGAACAAAGGAATGATTCGAGCTTGTGTCGGGTACCGTCGTAAGTGTCTGGTACCTTGACAGCTGGGGTACGTTCCTGTACCGCGATGGTCGTTACCTCCGTGGGTACTGGGGTCTCTGCTCGTCCAGAGGTAGACATGGTTGCCGAATGCTAACTTCAAGACCAGGTGCTCAAAGTGTCACGACTCTCTCCTTACCCTGGTAAGGTCACGTGGGTTGGTATAGTGAATGAAGTAAGATAAGGCAATGATATTGTAGTTAGGAAAACTTAATCAAGTTGAGCACGAAGCTCCTACCTATGGCAAAAGTGCCAGTCATATATAGTTTTCTCATCCCCTGGAGTCCGACTCCCTTCTGGAGTCTAGGAGTCCCGGGGAGTCCATCGGACTCCTTTGGACTCCACAACGTGACCAAGTCCCCTCGCTTACTGAGCCTATAGTCCACTAGTCCCGTGACCGTAACACCTTTCTTTCCTCTTTACCTTTAGATTCTAAGAGATAGCCTAACCGATTCCTCGTCTACGTACTTGAGTCCAACTGTGCTGTCACATAATATATATAAAAAATTTAAATAAAAATAAAAATAATTTTTTTTTATATATACGATAAAATATAATACGTATTATATTTAAAACGTAAAATTACGTATTTTTTATACGATAATTATTATATAATTTTTATTTTTATAATTTTTATTTTTATAATTCCTCGCCTACACCGGCAGTCCAATCCCCTCGCTTATCATCTCTATCTCTCCAAGTGTCACGATCACGGGACTAGTGGGCCTTAGGTCACGCGGTGGGTCACGTGATGGAGTTTTACTCTCCTGTAAAACTCCAAGGTACAGTAAAACTCCAGGAGGGGGTTTTACTCCACAACACTCGGGTTCTATATAACTCTGGGTTGTCACCCATTAGATAGGAGCTTCGTGCTCAACTTGATTAAGTTTTCCTAACTACTATATCATTGCCTTACCTTACTTCATTCACCATACCAACCCACGTGACCTTACCAGGGTAAGGAGAGAGTCGTAACACCAAGCGCAAGATTTCGATCACGGACTTTCCAGAATGTTGCCAGGAAGGGATGGTCGGAGAAGTTCTCTCCAACAGGAAGATCAAACAACTGCTGTATTTTATGTCTCTCTAATTCTTCCTTAGCCCAATCCCACTGCTCTAGTCAGTGTTTTGAAGTTATAAGTATGTTTGGGAGGAAAACACCTTAGCAGAAGCAGTTTCGCAGAGTTCTGCAACCCAGCAGAGAGAAGAATCTCTTTTCTCGCAATAGCACATGTTGCCCCATGGCTATTAGATAAAAGTTCAATACCTGTAACTTTTTTACTTGTAAAGAGGAGTTTCGCAGCCTGAGTCTTGTCCCACAAAGTGACGTTTGGTCCTCGCTTGTAACAAGAAGCCGCCCATTTTCGTTCGTCTTCCTCAAAGCCTTGCTTTCAACATTTCTTTCCGTCCTTCAGATGCGCTTGGGAGTAAATGACGAGCTCATATTTAGCAGCAATCATGAGACATCCTCAACAGTAGAGCCTATGCTTTGCGACCTCCAATTAGAAACCTTTCGTCTCACTGACAGTTCAACTTACACGTCTCGCAAACAGACATCGATGTTTCAACGGTTGGAGTCCATATTTTCCAATCCTTTATTCATTTTGAGATTCTAAGATTCTTTGTTGCGAATCGTGCAAGTTTTGCAGCTCGAATCATGACTTCACCTGCCTACACCTTCAAAGTAGACCCTGGCTCGTTTCTTCCATTGTCTTTTCAAGTATTCTCAATGTTCAGGAGTAGCTGTTGTCATTTCTAGGTACGAAGCAAAGTTGGAATCGTCTCTGCCTCTGTTTACGCCTGTGCACATGTTTAAACCCTTTGCTAGTTTAATCTACTCTTTTCGACATCACAGGAATCAACCGAAGTATTCTTACCGACATACCTTAGCAATGGCGAGCGACGATGAGAGTGTTCAATCTTCCCAGTCCTCCCGCTCCTTAGAAAGCGAAGACTTGGAGAACGATGCTGATGACGGGCTTGCAATTATAGGAAAGAAAACGCTGGCCCAGCTTCAAGCACGATTAAAAAGAGAGGGTATCTTCTACACAAAGGACGACAAACTGCCCATCATTCAAGGAAAATCAGCGCCGTCTATCAAGGGTTGCTTATTGGCCGGTGACGAAACCCCCACAGATGCCTTCGAAGAAGTAGCGAACTGGTGCAAAACGAAGAACGAGGAGCTGATCGAACAGTTGGAAAGGCGCAAACTGAAGACACGGGGAGCTAAATGGATCCGTGTAGAGCGTCTTATACAACATGAGTATGTGTGTAAGACTCAGCTTTGAAACACACCAATTGCTGACACCCTATGTGCTAGGTTCCTCTGTCGCGACGAACAAGAAGACGAGAGTAGTTCCAAGGACCGCAAGGGCAATGGCAAACGTAAAGGCCGTGCAGGCTCGATGGAACCACCAAAAGACCAAGCGGTACCCAAGCTTGATCCCGAAGATGTCGTAAGTCTTAACTCCTCGCAAAGTTGTATCTTCACTCTAGCTATCTAAGAAATTCCACTCTAGAGTTAGTGCTCTGATTGCTTCACGGGGACATGCGAACCCCTCCGCCCCACTAAATCGTATGAACGGAATATGCTGACCCTATGACTTTGTTAGCACCATACTGTTGCCAACCTACTGGTATCGGCTCTTTACAATGCTGTGTTCTTTGACAAGCGCACAGACCTCATTGCAGGTTACAGGCCCAAGGGTGATGAAGGGGTTACACCATGGTCTCAACGCTTGTTAGGTCATGGGCACAGTCACTCAACTCAAAGTAAGGCTTTCAATGTTTTCATTCAGTAGCTATTTACTGCTCAAGGTCTCAACCGTGGGCATCATGTAGCTAGCGGCAAGATCGCATAAAGTATCTCTCGACCTCACGGAATCCTCGAAGGAGCACCATAGGTCGAACCTTTTCCTTGTCATCGTCTGCACCATCAAGTGCTTTGTGCCCATCCTAGGAAGCACGCGTGATCGTGAAACGAGCTATGACACCTAGCACAATGTACATGCCTTGCAAATTGCAACGGCCCACGACGAAACAAACATCCGCTCATGAGAGTTACAAGTGTAGTGTGAAAGTGGGGTTGCGTGTAGAAAGAAAATAATCCATACAGTGAAAGGCCTCCCAAAGAAGGTGCTTTCTAATCATTGTTTTTAAAAAAACCAAGCCCTTTAAGTGTGGACTGGTGTGGCGACATGTCTGTTCCAAGTCGCCGAGTAACCTCTGCCTCCTCGTCCTCCACGGCTAGGAGCTGGGCTCGAGGGAGCTGATGCATTGTCAAGGTTGGGAGAGGGGAAACCGCCTGAAGTATCTCTACCTCTACCTCTTGGGTGAGATTGTCGTGGGTTGCCTCCGCGTGAGCCACCTCGTCTAGGGTTACTTCTCTGTCTGGGCACCGGGATATTAACGCTTCTGGGTTCTTCTTGCCCCGGCACTCGGATCGTGACGGTGCTATTGTTGTTTGCAATTTGCTGGGGGAAGTGAATTGCTTCGGCACTTGTGGTTTGCGCAACATGGAACTTTCGAGGCAACGACTTCGGCTGAGGTGGAGCCAGCGACCATGCGGACGGCGGGGCAGAGACCGGTACCTTGATTATTGGCAGTGAACCCATCTCTTGCTCCTCGAAGCATTCTTCTGCGGCAGGTTTTGACTCAATCATTCCATCATCCAATATCGATTCCGAGCCCCGAGATGGTAGCGAGACAGTAGCTACAAGCTGTTGATGAGGCACCTCTAGAGCGCTCTTGCTGGAGGAATCAACTGCGAGGGCATGTGACTTTGGAGGAGAATTGTTACGCCCAATCAAAGAGTTGATGCGTTCTTGCCAGCCACCAGCCGTTGGCTCTTGACGACGAATGTCTTGATACTGTGATCCTCTCGGGGGCAAGTCCTGACGTGCAACGTGGTTGAGCACAGGTACAGCTGGAGCTTGGACTGCTGCAGCGAACGATGTGGGCTTTGGTGGGCCGATTGGGGCGAGAACTGGGGGAGGGGGCAATTTGACCACGGGCGATGGACGAGGCAGGAGCACATGTGGGTGCGTGGTATCACCATCGTAAGCTGGATGACCAGCCATAGTTGGTGGAGGAGGAGATGGGGATCCTGGTCGGTCGAAAAGAGCAGGCTGTTCCTCCAGTCGAACATCACGATTATTTGGGAAAAACCGAGAACCACGAACGGGAGGTGAGGCCGTCATAGTCGGAGGTCTCCAGGCATCAAACTGCTGCGTATGGTTGGCAACAATATTGCGCCGCGCCATATCTTGCTCCTCGAAAACGCCTCTTGTCGTCGACTCTTCCTGCTGTTTCCATGCTTGCGACGAATCATGCACGGTGGCTACCTTGCCTTGCAACTTGCCTCGAGTCCCATCCTCGTTCATATCGACTGGACGCCATGTGTCTTTAATCACCGTGTTTGCCTCAGGTTCGATACCCTTTTCTCGTAGCTCTCGTCGGCGGGCGTTCTCAGCATCCTGTTGTTGAGCAAGCAGGGCATCATCTTGCGCAATCCTGTCAGGCAAACTTCCCCAACCTGAATTTGCTACGGCCGCGCGGGTCTGATCTTGGCGTGAAATGGCTTGTCTATTCGGCGGTCCTATGGGAGCAGGGCGAGAACCATACTCTCGACCATGTCCTTGCTGAGATTGACTGTTACCACGGACCGAATTTGGAGGTCCAATAGGGCCAGGATGGGGACCTTGATGCATATCCGGAATTCTACTTAGTTCTGGGTTGAAAGTGCCGTTACCCAACGTCCTGTCATTCGTAGGTGGTCCCCACACGTTCCTAGAAGTGGACTGCTGGCTGGAAGCGCCAGACCAAGGCTTGAATCTGTCTGAAGACGAAGTCGAAGCGTTTTGCCAAGATTGAGAAGGTCGATTCTCCTGGGTCTGTTGGGCATTTGATGTTGATGGGGCTTGACGCGTATCGCCGACTCGAGATTCGAGCACAGGGTTTGCAGTCTTCTCGGAAGACGGTCTCTTGTCCGCTGCTATGGAAGGCTCAGCAGACTCAGATTTCACCTTCGATCCATCGTTTGCTGGCACCATTTCAGACTGTGACAGCGCGGGATCAGCTTCCTCGCGAGCTTGTATTTGAGTTGGACTTGGCTTATCCTCCTTAGGCGCATCCTTCTTCTTCTTTGTTTCGGGCGGTGGACCCATGGCTTCTAGCTTGAGTCTAATTCGCTCCTTTCTTGCAGCTTCCTCCTTTGCTTCTTCCTCGAGTCGTCTCTTGATAGCAAGCTCACGTGTCTGGCGCATAATTTTCTTCTGTGTCTCGATAGGATCCTCATAGACCGCGCTGGAAGCTTGAGCTTGGGCTTGAGCTTGCGCGTCATTCGATGCTGGAGGGACCGTCTGACCATGGATAGATTGAGGAGATGGATGGCTAATGACAGGTGATGCACGCGATTGCTGCCATTGTTGATTTTGGTAGCCGCGCTGATTTTGGTTCTGGTGTTGCCCAGAAGGTGAATAATTCCGTGGCGATGAAGGTGAATCGCTTACTGCGGCCAGAGAACCTCTTCGTACATTCAACATCTCGTGAGGTGGCTGCATATCGTGACCCCTGCTCATGCGTCTTACAAAATTACCACTTCCACCACTGACATTCGAAGAGGTTCGTCGTCGACCATACCCTCCATCTTGACCACTCGCACGGTGTGTTTGAAAGGCGGGAGATGGTTCCGCTGGACCATCTTGTGGTGAAGGTCGCTGCAGTACCGCAGGTTGGTGCCCACGTGCATCATTACGGGTTGACCCTCGGCGGCTGTCATTCACAGGCTCGTATCTACCTGACTGTGAATTGTAGAGCTCCCTACTCGTATTAGAGCCTTCTCTCCATGATGAACGGCTGAAGTCATCGGCAGCAATTTCCTTCGCAGGAGGAGGTGGCATTCCTTGAAAGCCATGGGGGTCTCTCTGAGAGAAGCGGCTCTGTTGGGGCTGCTGCTGTTGCTGGTGTGGAATCTCGATGGCAATAGGAGCCACCTTGTCTACCGGCGGCAAGGGTGCCCAAGGAGATTTGACAGGAGTTGGGGGACCAGGAGGCTTAGCAACCAATGTTGGCTTTTCGGCAGCGCCCTTCAAGATCAGACCAGCTCTTCCTGTTCCAAGTCCGCTTGGTTTTACCGTTGGCGATGCTGATGCTTGAGTGGGAGCCGGAGAGATAGATTTGGGCATTTCAACAATCTTTGCTTCCTTTACTGCTACGGGATTGGGCTCAGGAGCTGGAGCTGGCGTCTCGTCAGCTTGTGGTAATGTAATCTTCGTTCCATCGGTCCATTCAATGGTTTCTGGTGCCCAATCATCGTCATCATCATCTATATCTGCCCAGTTTGCTTGTTTGCCCGGGTCATCTGATTGTAGTCTCGTAGCCAAATGAATGCCGTATCGTTGCTTTAGTTCTTCGTCCGTGAATCGTTTGGGTTCTGCAGGCGGTGCCGCTAGACAAAGTCAGTCTTCAATTCTCCAAGAAATTGTTTGCTTGACTCACGTCTGTTCTTGTTCCAAACAGCACTCGCATCGGGAGCCGAGCCAGCTTTGCCACCATTTGCAGAAGCAGAATTACGTGGTGCCGAATCTCGCAGACCACTGCCAGACTTTGCCACTAATCTAGGCCTCGGAGCAGTGCTGGTAGATGGTCCGGCTTGAGTTGTCGTTGACACAGCTGCTCCTTTCTCACCAAGTTTCGAGGGTGTCGCAGTCGTTGCGCCTTTAGCAGCAAGAAAGGTCTTGTTCACCGACACCGGCTTGAAAGATGTGAACTTCTTTACGGTTGATGTAGTGCGAACGTGGCCCTTCTCGTCACCTTGGGTTTTGGTCTCCGCTTTCGAAGCTTCAGTATCCGATCCTCCACTAATACTGACCTCCGCAGAGTTGACATTTGCGTCGAGGGTCTCAGGATCTGGCTTGTCTTCATATTTCTCGGAGGTTCCATTCACAACAGGCTGGATCTGCTCGGAGGTGACATCTTCGCTCGGGGTTTCAATTGTGTTCTAGGCGCATGTCAACAAAAGTAGGGATCAACAGTCTCACATTCAGCGTACCAGCTCATCGGGTGATATAGACGACTTCAGAAGGTTCTCAGAGGTGGCTTCAGATGCCATCCTACTGTTGAAATTATCAAAAGCTTCGTCCCGGATTAGGTCGCGGTGTTGACCCGTTGTGGTCTGCGAGCTTGGACCGGTGTATCGAAGAGCTTTGAAAGGGGAAAAGGATTCGAAAGGATATGTCGCAGTACGATTAGGGCGACAAGATGAAGGAGCAGGTAACTCTCAAGTGGGTGGAGAGACAGGCGGAGGGGGATTTAGTGTTTTCGAGGTCAGTCGTCGCGAGAACAGACAGAGATGATGGTCACGTAGCTTCGCTAGCGTAGCGCAAAGAATAAGGCTGAAAAAAAATCCGGAATGGCAGCCCCTGATATTTTATTAGACACAACGCATCACCCGGACGAGGCCAGTAACTGATGCTTTGTTGACAACCTCGATTTCTCGCCTTCTAGTCATGTGCGACGACATATTCCTACTACACTACACTCAATATTCATTTCACAATCACTTTTCTTCGGAGCCAGCCTCCACAGAGTCTTGCTGTTGTCTTGTGTTCTCACCAAAGCTGCCAAGTCCACAAGTGGGAACGAGAATCCGCGTGGCTGGATTCATCACCACGATATCTACTTTCCGGTTGATGATGATACTGTCTTCGGTCTTGTTCTGAGAATGCCCCTTTTCATGTAGGCTACGGCATTTAGGAATGCCCTCTAGGTCTCGGTATTGCTTGTACTAATCCAGATCCTGAATGCATCTTCCCACATCCACCCCGAGAGGATAGCATAAAAGACACCTCGGCGATTATTGAAACGGAACTTCAACAAGCACACTTGTCACTTGCAATCCGGAAGGGATAAAGGTCAGAGAGGTCATAAAAGATCTCTCTACCCATGCATCCCTATCTGCCCGAGACCTTGTGTTGCTCGAACGCTTGACCGATTGCTGATGTGAAAGGTACCTCCTAGCCAACTCACATGCTTCATCAGAAAGATAATTGTGTCACAAGACGATTTGTGCTGGACTGGGTGTCGTTGGTATTTGTGTTCATCCCGCCTCAACACTTATTTACATCCATCGTACTCTAACACACCCACCCTGTCTGCTGACGCCCTTACTCCAAATACCCTCTAGTGAGCATTGTTCTTGTGATGTCCTGTAATTGTGTTAGATTGTAGCTTATCCCCAGAATGATTGGTAGAGCTTACTGAGATGGAAATAGTAGTTCTGAGCGTAGCCAATGGCGACGACGAAGGCAATGGCATGGATGAGAGCTGCATCTGTCAGTACAATTGTAAACGTCGAAGGACTTGAGATGTACGTGTGGCAGATGGGTTTTTTCCGAAGTATCGAGCCTGGTATCTACCAAGAAGTCCCTTTGGCTTGACGTCTGGAGCTGCGCCTCGAGGAAGCTTTTCGTAGAAGCTAACTACACGTTGCATGCGAGCAGCATCTTGAGCGGCACCGATTCCCTGCTTGCCATCAGCTGTGGTCTTCTAAATCTCAACGAATAATGCTCCGGGTGGCTCGCTGGGAGCTTGGAGATATCTAGGGATATTGAAAGCTATTCGGAGGCTTGTAGAACATTTTGAGCGGGGTGGAAAGCAACCGGAGGCTTACTGATGGAGAGGCCACCTGTAGTTGGGATTCAGTTAGCAATCAGAACGACCAAATCTAATACTGGTATTCACCTTTGGTGGAATGAGAGTAGACAGAGCGCGACGGGTAATGAAGCTCATCTTGACTGTGTACCTAGCAGATCAGCTCAAGACTCCTTCCCAATGCTGCCTGAACAGCACTCCGATGGTACTTCGGAAGGTCGTACCTCAATTGGATTCGTGAGATGGTGTGGCGGGCAAGAGACTATGCTTTATGATCAGTGTGAAGGGACTGCGAAGTTGCCTTTCCGGAAAGCACGCTAGCGAAAGCCGGCTTAGGTAATTCAGCTCTATGAACGACAACGACCATGAAGCTCTAATTATCGAAAAGACAACACCACTCTCCGAAAATGCCGTTGTTACGACCCTCAATTGCAGGTCGATTACTGAGAGCAGGAGTTCCGGAAGCTCGACGAGTTGTCCCTGGAACCGTACGATATGACAGCCACACAGCATTAGGAACGCCCCTCACAACCTCCGAAGCTTCAGCAGCAGCAGTGGTCGAAGCAGGAGAATCGAAAGGCGTGCAGCCAAGACATAATCAACCTGATTATGCTGCCGAAGTCGATCAGGCTTCATCGTAAGATTTTCCTATCCAAAGTACATTCCAGCTGACGCGGGTAGGACCTTCTCGCCCATTCCAAAACGAGTCATGAATGGCAGCGAAGATGGAGATGTCTTGCCTGCTGCTGTACTTTCCGGTGCACCAATTGAGCTCGAAGCAAGGACTGTCAGGTAATCTGCTCTGAATGTATCACAACATAATCATTTTCTCACGACGTTAGAATCTACCGTCCAGCTAAGACAGCAACACAGTCCGGAGATTGGCATGGTCATCACTGGCGTATGGATTGGGATATATTGTCCAAGGGACACCGATGGGAAAATCCTTTGATGGGTTGGCAGTCGTCTGCGGATTTCATGCAAGGCACACATCTGAACTTCAAGTCAAAAGAGGATGCAATCAAGTTTGCGGAGAAGCAAGGATACGAGTACTTTGTGCAAGAGCCAAACTCGCGAAAAATTATCCCGAAGGCGTATGCCAACAACTTTCTATACACCGACAAGAAGTTGAAGCACATTCGAACGAAGTAAGGTGGTCTGCGTTAGCATTGTACATAGGCTGGGTAGAGACGATCATATAAGAGATCATTGAAGTGCATGATATTGTTTTATCACAAGGCTTATTGGAGCTTTCGAGAGATACATCCCAGTCAACCTCTTTTCCTGCGGCTTCTGTTTCCACAACTTGACATTCGGCACTTGAAAACCTGCATGTCCCCCCTGAAACTACGTCTTTATTTCTTGCTGCGGTTGCTACTCACCATGAGCCAGATTTCTTCGTATACTTGAACATTTTGCTTCAGCGCTTTCCATAACATTGGTTCCGAGTAACAATTGCACCGCTTCCTCAATTCCACCACCAAGTCAAGCTAGTCGTGTCCTCTGATTCTGTAATTTCGTCGATAGGTGTCCGTCTCTACTGCCATCATTCATCCTCCGGCGCCAGAGATGCACACCGCCCAGGCAAGTCTCCATTTATCAACCCAAGGTAGCATGCGAGTCCGGTGATTGGGCGAGAAAAAACCCGGCTCAGTAATGTCAACTGTGATTCGATTTTGGAAATATGCATAGAGGGGCAAGAGTTTTCTAAAGTCTGGAGGCTCGGACTCTTCAACGGTGACAACCACCACCAATCTCTCGCAACCTGTGAATTTGCGAAGGCATTGCTCCAGATCTTGCAGCACCAGCAAAGATTTTTGTGGGCCAGTCTCCTTGGGAGCCGGGAGACCTAAACAGGCCCAATGGCGGCGGGAGAGTTCGTCATCGCCACGAGGAAGAGAGACCTTGATACTTGGTGCAAATCTCTGTAAAGTGGGTCGGTTTGCTAAGAGCGAATAGACGAGGTTCCATCGAAGTCTAGGGTCCTCATTCGGATATTGCAAGATGTATCCACCTATTGACAGCTCCTCGACCAAGGAATCAACGAATGAGAGGACCTCATCATGAAGTTGCTTGTTGACGAATAGCAGCGGCAAGGTACCAATGCCACTCATGCGCAAGTTACCGGGGCCGTTCCATCTGGGCAGAATTGATACTGTAATACCGCTCTTCTTCGACTGTGACGTTGGCGATCTGGGGCTTTTCAAAGTTCCAAGAATACACAGCTCGATGATCTGATTGCGAATCTCCCCAGGAAGAATGTCGATCAAAGGTGAACGCCCTGTCGAGAGATCTGCTTTGAGAGCAGCGCCCGCCATGATTCTGATAGATCTATGAAGAGGGCGGACAAGTTGTTGGACGGATCGATTGAACCTTCATAATTCTATGGAAAGGCTGGAAGTAGGCAACAGTCACTCAAGACATTCTGAAGTAAGGCTGAGCACAATGGTGTGGAAAATCGTATGATCACGTGAGTTGTAGCCATCTGTAAGTGCCCGAGGTGCATCTAAATTTCAAGAAACAGCTAGAATTCTGCTTTGCTGCTTGACCGTCTTGCTTTTCTATAATATCGAAGCTTGGTTTTCTATGTGTCCCCTAGCACGAGATCAATATACTTGTGTATGCACACCTTGCGTCCTAGAGAACTTAAGGCCAGCTGAAGGCTGGATGCTACCAGATCAGAAATGACGAGAAGAAAAGTAAAAGCAAGCAGGATGTTTTGCTCTATCATATGTCTTACTGTTGATGAGAGTAAGAAACCTGAGGGTAGCATTTCGGTTCCACTTTCCGGATAGAGTCTAGCTCGGATCTTGCCGGATCTAAGCTGTGGCTTCTCGAAGTGTTCGAAGTGTGATCTCACAACTGCCATCAATCATCTCAACTGCGGAAATGTTGACCATAAAAATCAATGACAGCTAGCACACTTGAGGCTTTTGAGATTAATCTTCGTCTGAAAACCCTCCTCATTTCTCGGGACGTTCAAGAGCCGCCCTTCGCTGTCGCACTTCCGCCACGGGGAGGCCCGAGACGACGCCATTGCAAGAAAGTTCAGTCTACCAACTGCACTGCTTTACCGCCAAACAAGGGAAGTCTCTGTTCAAAAATCGAGTGAACATCCTTAATTTCAATCCTAATCTGATCTCAAAGCAATTCTTGTTTGTTTCCCCGATCCTGTTTCGCGTTTGGACATCTGATGCTTAAAGTGTTTGATCGTAGTCCCGATTCGGCACAGGCCAGCTTGCTTGAATTACAGGCTGGCACACATCGGTTTGATTTATTTTCCCCTTCTCCTGAGAGCTTTCCACAAGCTGTGCGAATGATCAATGTTATCTTGGAACCGTTGTTGTTGTTCATGTACAGATCTCAAATTGCGAAGTCACCTTTCGGTAGTCTATCGAGCTGCAGAGAAACAGCCACTGCTATACCACGAAGTGAGGCTGTGCCTTATAAGAGAGCTTTCCTTGCTGGAGATCAAACCTGCAATGTCAGACAACAAGCTTAACTTTTCTTTTGCGCTATTTTCGTCTTCGTCTCAACCCAACCACAAGTGATCCCATATTCGGCTTTACTACCGAATCACACAAATTTCAAGTTTCTCCTGTTACATGTTCCGTTCTGATGCGACTGCGCCTCCATTCAGTTCGTCCCATATGAGACACCCGCACTTGTTTCGTTGATCAAATCAGATAATCCGGAGATTGTCTATCCTGCTTTATCAGAGCGGGTTTCGACATGCCGACAGCAGACTTGATATAAACGACAGTTCCGCCGAAGTTGGGAAATATCCTTATCGCCGCTTCACAAGGGTGCCTACTCTCATTTATTCTCTACGTTCACTCACTACTGCTAGTCAGCTTAATTTCCGTTCTTTTCCTTCTGGCAAGCCTCCATCAATTCCATCTTGCTTTGCACTTATTATCCTACACCGAATCCTCAGAAACCCATTACCTTCAAAGACCCAAGTCTCAGCAACATGCGTTACATCAACGTCCTTCTTCTGACGCTCGCTTCCTCGGTCCTAGCCGGCTCAGAGTACAGTTCTTATAGCGGAAGCTCTAGTTCAGACTCATCTGACAAAGGGTCTATCTCTGGCTATAGTGGAAGTTCGAGCTCCGATAATAGCAAAGGCTCAAGCTCCTACGACAACTCCGACAACTCTGGATCATCCGAGAAGGGTTCCAGCTCCTGGGGCTCAGACTCGTCGTCATACGGCAAAAGTTCCTATGGAGATGACAGCAATTCGAAATCCAATAAGACCCACACAACAAAGACTTATTCGAAAGCGTCTGGGACCTACACTCGCGCCTCAAAAACGCACGAGACTTATAGTGAAAAGACTCATGCATCGAAAGATAAGAACTCGACTTCCGTTAAGACTAAGTCGTACGAAATTGGGCACACATACACCAACACCAAGACCCACAGCTACGAGGTTGGCGGAGTAAGTCGACTTTCTTGATCCGTTTCACACGTCAACTAACAACACTTTCTCTAGACGACCATCATATCAATTCTCATCAGCACAGAGACTTTTGGCGCCGCGAATTCGTTTTCAGTTCCTTTCACAAACACTGTCTTTTCAACGGAAACTGCACAGGCGATCACCACAGCCGCCGCAGTGACAACAACCTTTGCTCCAGCATCGTTCTCGAGTGTGACCCCTACAAACACCTCAATACTGCTTCAGCAAGCGAACCAGACTGCGCCTGCTGCCGTCTTTACAGGCGCTGCAATGTCCTCCGGGCATCAATTATGGACACTTATAGCCGCGGTGTCGTTCGCGTTGATTGCAGCCTTCCTATAGGTATGATAAAGCGGTCGAGGATGTATATGTCATTTGTCTTAATGGTTTTCGTTTATAAGGAAGGTTTCCGTGGTATGTAAACGGATAATTGAAAGTGTCCTGGTGGGTCCATTTGTTTGGTAGCTTATAGGAAGCTTTAAATGATACCCGTTTTATCCTCGAGAGCGAGATTAATGAAAATTGTAAACAGAGCAGCCCTTTCAGAAGCATACAGGCTTTTGCCTCGTCTTAAAAAAATTCTAGATGGCATCTTGAGTTGTGTGAGATCTGCTAACAAGTAATACCTATAGGTAGGTAAAGTCTATGATATCATTGCGATCCATTCTGTATCACGTGATATGCTATCTAGGGGATCTTTTGAGGCTCCTTAGTTTCACAAAGCACAGGTACAGAAAACCCACTCACCAGACACCGACTTCGTAGTCTCATCATGTCGAGCAAGTCTGTATCTCGGCGTGGGCGAGCTTGTGATGCATGCCATACGATAAAAATCAAGTGCGAGCTTGGTTCTACTCACGGCGGCGATCCACCTTGCGAAAGATGCATACGCTTAGGAAAGCAATGTTCAGTAACTACTCCTGTGCGCCAAAAAGACCGAATAGCAGAATTAGAGGCCAGGATTGAGGAAGTCACCAAGTTACTACGGTTGCAAGAGATACAAGAACCCTCCTCACACAAGGCAAACGTTGTGTCGTCTGGCCCAAAAGCGACACACACAGCATCGCAGAGAGTACTTGAAAAACCAACAAAGAAGAGGAGGCTTGAATCTACTTCCGCAGTCGACGAGGTTGAAGACCGTGGGATAGGCTCTGCGAACCATGAAAACGGCGTGCTGGATATTGACCACGTGCTTCCTCGATCGATTCAGATGCAACTGCTCGAGAAGTACCGCTCTGACATCGAGCCAGTGTTTCCTTTCGCTATTATCAAAAGCTATGAGACTTTGCGTGGAGAATCCCCTGTTCTGCTACAAGCGGTCATATTTGTTGCCAGTCTAGGAAGACTTTCGACAGATATTCAAGATGAGCTTACTTCACTCGTCATGGATTCCCTTACCCCAGATGAAATCGCTAAAGCCAAAAAGTAGGTTTGACGATGCTCTTCGTTACTGTATTTCGAACATCTTCGCAATCATCCATCCCAGGTACTCCTGTGTCATCTAACGGGGATGTAAGCGACTGAGCGGGATTTGGCTGATAGAATTCAGGTCTATTGAAATGGTCCAAGCAATTTTGATTGCCTCCTTCTGGTACCGCCCTCCTAAAAGCCAAATTCATACGGCCATAGACAGATTCCTTAATCTTGCTGTCGGTATTGCAGAAGACATTGGCATCTCAACATCAGATTGCGCATTGGGCGCTACTTCTTCAGATCTTGGCGACCGAATAAGTTCAACTGATGCCTGGAGAACGTGGAGTCTATGCTATCTCCTTTCTACCAGTCTTAGCAGCTGCATGAGAATATCCCCCAAAATATCGTGGAATCCGGAACTGGAGATGAAGCTTTCAGCGTTGGAGTACGGTAGAGACGCGATAGGAACTGACAGGTTGCTCTGCCAGTTCGTCCATGCTGAGAAGCTCTGTCAGCAAATCATTCTAGATGCCGGGTACAATGGAAATGAGTCGACGCTGGAGGTCACCGATCATGCGACTTTTCAGCGACTGCGGAATTTCATCACAGATAGGAAAGCTCAAGTCTACACGTCACTGAGATCTTCGAGCTTGAGCTTGTATGAACATATTCCTGCTCTATTCCTCCATGAGTGCATCTTGCACACTCCAACCAACAATAGCTCCTTTGCAGCACCATACATTGCTGAACGTCTCTCCTTGACAGACTTTCCCTCACCAATGGTGACTCCCGACCATGTTGATTGTCTCTACAGTCTCCGCGATGCATGTCATTGTGTATTAAATGCCTTCCTGAGCGTTCACATCAACGTCCTGACGTCCTCACCAATGATTGTTTTGAATGCCAAAGGATTGTACGCTATGTGGCTTCTGATTAAGCTATATGTCGCCACGACAGCATCGGGTAATACGTATGGCGCGTTCATCGACCCCGAAAGCTTAGATTTGGAGACATATCTGGGAAAACTAGCTCATACGGGAGATGCCCTACAAGCAATCGATCCCGTGTGTGTAGTCGGGAAAGGGCTGCAGTCTACGAAGAGGCTGATGGAATGGGTATGGAACTATAATACCATACGGGCCAGTCAATCATATATAGTCTCTTCTTCGACTACTTTGATTGATCTGGGATTGGAGACTGTAGCTCCGTGGAAAGCTGATGACCTCGACTTGAATGCATTAGATACCAATGCGTTAGATTATGGGTTGGAAGATCTGTTTGGTACAGACTACATTCCCTAGCGCAATCCTAGGGGGAAAGTCTGTCCATCTGCGGAAGCCCATAGCAGACAATCTGATCTGTCCTTCTTCTCGATATCGACAAAGTTCTGCTTGTGCAAACTCGCTACCACCACTACTATTTGAAAGGGTCTGCTCGCCCTTTTATTACGTTGATGTGCACAGCAACCCAGCCTGTCGTTGCCTTCCCGTAACATGCCATGGGCTTCGAGCATGACATACTGGTCTTGGATTGCGATATTCTTCTTTCCGCAGGCCTCTTTGATTGATTATGGCTGCCCTCAGGATCTTGTCAAGAACTCTAAGCAGCCGACATTTGACATGGTCATGTAGCTATGCATACCTAGGTATGTAAGATCTTACCTTATGTTTGCTTCTGGTAAACCCGACTCGGCACGTGACTCGGCACGCAAGGCTCTGTTGTCATTCATTGAGATGAGAAACAGCTGTGATAGGATACGTGTTACACTAAACCTATCCTGGAAATCATACGATGGTCATTGTTGTCCACAGGCAAGCATAATAATACTCGTGTCACACACTGGCAAAGCATTGCACATTCCCACACCGCTCAATTTTCATTGAATTCCTTCAACTACCTTGAACCGCTTCACACAGGACGAAGATGTCAGCTTCAGGAGGCTCGATAGCCATCATAGGAGCAGGATCTGTTGGATCAGCCGTTGCATATTCTCTCCTTCTCCGCCAAGTTGTTGCTGACATTGTTTTGGTCGACATCAATCACGAACTATGTCAAGCACAAGTGAATGATCTCTCAGATGCAACATTCCTCTCAAACGTCAGGATCCGACAGGGGAGTGTTCAAGATGCCCAGAATGCTGATATTATCATCATCACTGCCGGAGCCAAACAAAAGCCAGGCGATACTCGACTTAATCTGATAGATCGAAACTACAAAGTTTTGAAGTCTATCCTTCAGTCTCTGCAACCGATTCGCAACGATTCCATCTTACTCATTGTTGCTAATCCTGTCGACGTTCTTACCCTGTTTGCACAGAGACTCTCGGGTTTGGCGAAGAATCAAGTTCTTGGATCTGGGACTCTGTTAGACTCGATCAGGCTTACTAGGATTCTCGCGAGTAAGCTCGAGGTACTGACTTCGCTATCCTGCCTTGAAATGTCACTGATTACTATACAGGTCGCTGATACATCTATCCACGCCTTCGTAATTGGCGAGCATGGTGATTCTCAATGTGTTTGTATTTCATGTTCATAACCCAGAATCATAGCTAAGATTGAGCAGGTCGCCTGGTCTACGGCAACCGTGCATGGAACACCACTACTGAAAGTCCTCCCATTGACCGACAATGAACGCGAGGAAATAGCCACTACGACCAGGAAGAAAGCCGAAGCTATCATCAAAGTGAAAGGTTTTACCTCGTACGGTGTTGCAGCCGTAACATCAAGAATCTGCGAAGCTATCATCTTTGATCATCGCCAAGTCTTACCGCTAAGTCACTGGCAACAAGACCTCGACTGCTGTCTCAGTCTCCCTGCTGTCCTTGGTAGAGATGGTATCATTTCGTCGTTTCCTCTTCACTTGGATGAAGAAGAACAGTCATTCCTGTCAGAATCGGCAAAGGGCTTAAGGAAGGTTATCGAAGAATACAAGGAGGACCTGTGATGGAGCTCAGACGCATTCGTTACTTCGTCTTCATCATTTTGCGACTCCCAAGTCGTCTTACCACTGCTCTGGCAATCAGTCAGAAGCTCAAGATGCCATCTCTCGTATCAGAACTGCCTTCGCACTTCATGGCATCTTGTTGTAGTTCTAAGTCAACAACCCCTACATCGTTGATCATAGCACGATGCCCAAAGTGCTGCATCCAAAGTGACTTGCCTTTCTTCTATCTTACAATTTTAATAGAAGTCTTTGTTGAAGATCTTTCGAGTGGAGATCTTATAGTTCTCAGTCACACGCGTGCCCGGTATTCGACAACTTCTTCATCAGACCTTCACAGCAGCCTTTTCTTTGTCCTCTGATTCCTCACTTTTCTCCTTTTTGACACTTTTCCATTCAACGAGTAACGCAGCTGGCAAAGTGAGCGCTGCTAATATCAGAGCCACCAGAAAAGTTTGGACAACTGCGTCGTTATACAAATTGAGAACCTCCTGGACTGCTTCCGAATTTCCACCAAGAGCAGCCCGAGCATTGGCAACTAGAGCGGTAGCCCCACTCCTACCAATGACCGACACGTCAAGATCCGGTAGAACGGCAACTAGGTTGGTCCATAGCTTCTGTTCAAACACATTCTGACAGATCGCCACCGCAATCGAGCCGCCAAGAGATCGCACAAGGGTTGCCAGACTAGTGCCTGCTGGGATCTATTCTTTAGGCAGAACAGTTTGGATGGCAACATTGCATTGCTCGAGGGTCATTCCAATCCCGGCTCCGAATAGAATCTGGTAGCCAATCCAGGGACCGGTACTGACGTCTGCTTTCAAAGTGTACAGAAGTCCTGCGCCTACACTCATGAGGACCGTACCTAGAATAAGAAACGGCGTATAGTAGCCGCAAATCGACACGAGGGCGCCGGATGAGACTGAGACAATAACAAGGCTGAGAATGAGAGGCAGGGTGTGAATACCAGATTGTTCCGCGTCATCTTGTCTGATAGCCTGAAACCTCGGTAGAGTTAGCCAAGTAACTCTAAAATCATGCCGAAGGGTACGAACCATATTGGGAGGTAGTAGACGACGGCTGAAAAGGAGGCGGCACCGAACATGGTGTACAAACAAGCTCCGACAACGCTTCTTTGACTCAGCACACTTTTTGGTATGGTTGCGTTCTCCCCCTGAAAATACTGGAAGACAGCCCAAGCTATGATGGAGACTCCGAAGCAAGTCAAGGTTGTGATTACCCTTGGACTACTCCACGGGTATTAGGTGCCACCCCACTGTAGAGCAAGTAAGAGACAAATTATGGACGAGACGAACAAAGCGGTTCCGATTGGGTCGAACTTTTTGAAAACATCCAGCCAGGACTTGTTTCAAGGGCTGGAGAGGCCTGTCTAACCGATTTCGGGAGAAACAAGGTCACAACCGCGAGCGCAATTCCGCCAACAGGAAGATTAACTAAAGTACAGGTAAGCATGTATATATCAAGAATCTTAATCCTAAGTTCTTTTTGCTACATAAAGAACCGAAATCAAACAAAACAATATACACACCCACCAAACAACGGTGCCTGCTCAAATCGCTATAGCAAAGAACATGAAGGTAGCTTACTATAAAAGCACCTTCTCCAAGAAACACGGGTGGTAAACGCCCCTCCTAGAGGCTCCTTAGCATTTATCGAACCACCTCAACATCGGCCTTTACAAACCGAGTAAGGGTCCCACAACAGAAGCAATTCCAAACATTGCTCCGATGAGGCCAGCAAAGAGGCTCCTCTTCCTCAATGGTATAATTTTGGCAATGACAATAAAGCAGCCGCTAAATATCCCACCGCTACCAATACCTATTGACCAATTTAGCTTGATAAATCTGGCAACAATGAGAGGGGCGCTTGAGGATTTAGAGGAGATATAAGGTCTCGGGGTATTCTCGACAGCATGAGGAAAGATAAGCTGGGATCCTCACCGGCAATAGCTCGACCAATAATCAGAGCAAGAGAATTCGGCGCGGTTCCACAAATAGTACTTCCAACCTCGAAAATAACAATTGCAGAGATGAATACCCATTTCATATTGAAAAGCGAGTAGGCTCGTCCATATGGTAGTTGGAAGGCGCATGTGGTGAGTAGAAAGGCCACATTGTACCATGAGACGCCATTAAGACTATTAAATTGGGACGTTATGGTTGGTATCGCTGTAGCAATGATCGTACCGTCCAAGGTAACTAAGAACGTACTCGTGCAAAGTGACACGAATATGAGGATAAGCGTCATCCCCGTCGGGTAACTGGTGCCAACTGAAGAATTGTTGGAGTTCTGCACGCGAGGGGAGAGCTCTGAGCTGCCGTTTATCGACTTCGGGAGGTTTGAAGCCTTGTCTGGGTCTTTTTGCCTTTGGAGAATTGGGGACATGGGAGCGGATTCCTTGTTTGAAGTTGTCTGAGGTTGGAAAATTTCTTGAAGTAAGCTGTTTTAAATAATATCTCAAGAGGATGAATCTGTAATTCTTATACATACTGTGAACATCGGTAAAAGTCGTTGTCTTAAGTAGGTACTGACTGTCGGCCAAATATTGCCGTTCATCTCATACGGTCGAATTTCGCCGGCCGCAGACTCGCAGGTCGCGAACACGAATCCAAACGCGAGTCCGTGTAAGCAAAGACTAGGACCATAGGGTGAGCACATATTTCTAGACCGTTAGGTCGTCAGGGCAGTGTTGGAGAAGGTATCATGGTTGAGGCAGAATCCAGAGTAGAATAGACACGTGACAATGGAGAGCTTATCGCTCAACTTGAGCTTTTGGTCCGCGATATCAGGAGAACGATAAATATGGATCCAATTTAATACATGTGGGTATCAAGTACTTATTTTGCAGAATACGCCGTTGTCCTTATTTCGTAATTCAAGAGATACATATTCGGATGGCCAGGCTTGAGCCCCCCCTTCTCCTCTCGCTTAAGGTGTCTGCCAGGGGTCGGACCGCCGCAGGATCAGGATCATGAGAGTTCAACATTGAAGAAAAATTGCGTCAAAAGTCTAGACTCCAACCTCGAGTGTAAATAATTGGGGTCGAATGTCTATAATGCATATACTTGATTAACTTCCGTATGTTCTTCGAAGCTTGGAACCGGCCCTTGATTTAGCACCGCATCGCGCCGGCAGTGGACGTGGTTGTCGAACATAACCCACAAAGGGGCTCAACATCATACATCAGCAAGCGAACATGCAAATGTATTTTCTTATTTTCCTTCGACACCTCCAAAAGTTCTGAAACCTGCAACACATGTCTGTGAAAATGTAAATAATCGTTATTAGCAGCACAGACCAGCCCAGCCTTCTGTGGCGTCACAGCCAAGTACTTGGCGTCTTGGTACTCAAGCTTGACAGCACATACAAAACCTCTGCTGAAAATCGTGAGCCCCTTACTCACCTGAATTCGTGGAGCGATTCTTTGGTATCTGAGGTTTCGGTGGAAGAGAAGCTACTGCAATCGTTTGCGACTAAGAACAAATCCAATCACAACGGAAATCCAGATTGCCAGACACTATGGGCGGCCTTTTTCGACGTAGTTCTAGGAATGCATTGAGCACATCGCCACACAGTACGTCAAAATCGAACCTTGACGAGGTCAAGGTGGGAGACGATGTCTCAGGCTCTTTGGGGGAGGGCTCAGCTCGATCCTTTCTCCTTGATACCTTTGTAAAGACCTTACTGACCTGGCGACAGAAGATGCCATAGAGCCTAGCGTCCCTGAAGGCGCGTTCGCACCGACAGAGAAATCTCAGGTACTTCCTGTTCACCGCGTCAATCACAACGGACACAAAGTCACCAAATATGTTGCACCAGAAGGGGAGAGTGGAAGGAAAGGCATACATCCCCTGCATTTCTTCAAGATCTGCTGGTCCTCAACGAGCAATGCGTCTCGGGCAGTCAACGTTCTGTGGCCTGTGGTGCCAGCCGCTTTAGCTGTTCGTTATGCTCGGAGTGACCTACATCTTGCGATCTTCATTCTCAATTACATTGCCATGGTTCCCTGTGCCAATCTCATTGGATTTTCGGGCCAGGAATTAGCAAGAAAATTGCCCCGAGTATTCGGTATCTTGTTAGAGACTACGCTTGGATCTATTGTTGAGATAATTCTTTTCATGGTTCTTCTCAAACACGAGCAATACCCGGTAAGCCTCAATTGCTGTACTTTGCACGCCGACTCTGGAAGTGAGATCTGGCTCGAGAGCTGAGATGAAAGGCCAAAGGGCAATATTCAAGTTCCAATTCCTAGCCCCCGGAGTCCCGTCATAGCTTCCTGACTATGCTAATGCGTTGAGTAGGTCATACAGGCTGCAATCCTAGGGTCCATACTGGCTACTTTGCTTTTGTGTCTTGGATTGTGTTTCTTCGTTGGTGGTATGAGACGGGATGAGCAGACATTCCACGAGACAGTCAGCGAGGTTGGCACTGGATTGCTCTTGACAGCGTGATTTTCAGAATTCCTCCAATACGTGGCTGCTGGCTAATTTTGATAGTGGATTCGGCCTTGCAATTCCAACTGCCTTCCATTCTGCTCTCACCAATAGTGGCATTACCTCTACCATCTTGGATGATAAAGTTGTCTCGATTTCTCGCATCGCTTCGATTCTTCTTATTATTGCCTACGCGATTTACATCTGGTTCCAAGTGCGGACACACCACGGCATATACGACGATATTCTCGAAGCTGACGAGCTGAGAGACGCTGACCGTCACGAGGATTTGCACAAAGATAAGCTCACGTTCACTGAGTGTATCGTTGCACTCACCATTTCTATCGCATTGGTTACTATTATTGCTATCGGATTAGTAGAACAAATTTCGTTTATCGTTGAATCTCGTGGCATTTCGGACGCGTTCGTCGGATTGATCCTCGTTCCAGTTGTTGAGAAAGCTGCTGAGCACCTTACTGCTGTAAGTAAGATTTTGTGACTAGAAAGTGCACACTAGACTGCTTGCGCAAGGGAGGAGAGCCTCAATGTGTATATATATATTTCTACGTCTGGAATATTCACAGATATATCACTGACTCTATGATGTTCTAGGTTGACGAAGCATGGGACAATCAAATGAACTTTGCTTTGTCGCATGTGCTTGGGGCCACAATCCAGACGGCACTCTTTAGTACGTCAAATTCTACCCTTTTGGTCCTCAGCCTACGAGCCAAGCTATCCTGAGGTTTTTGAATAGCTTCAAAGGAGATGTGATTCAACTCCTCGGAAAAGCTTCTCGGCTCTTAGATCTCTCTCGGAACTGTACACTGATCCGTCTATAGATGCACCTCTTGTTGTGATTGTTGGCTGGGGCCTGGGCAAACCAATGGACCTACATTTCGAGATATTCGACATTGTCGTACTGATCCTTGCGATTCTTGTTGTTGGCAATTTCCTAAGGGATCAGAAGTCGAACTACTTGGAGGGCGCTCTTTGTGTCATTGTGTATATGATCATAGCTGTGGCCGCGTACCACTACCCAACACTGACTCCAGAAACAACGACACCAACCGAATAGGAACAGTGCAAAGGCAATGAAGTTCGTTGGTCTGTCAAGTAGAGCAATGATCTTGCATCGCATCTGAATGAGATGGGATGGAGCACGGTTTCTTTTGCATGGTCCTTAGAGTATTTGGACTCTAGTGCATGATGGATTGGGTACATGCATTCGTCAAGCGAGCAGTGATTCTCATTACGTAGCTTCGAATTTAACGCACGACATACGAGAAATTTCAGATTGACAACCGTACGGAGTATGACGAGACGAGACCAAATCTTTACTCGGGAAATGACCAACAAAGCAGGCAGTCGTCAGAGTGTGCCTGCAGGCACCCCTTTTCTACTCATGTAGTCGGAAAATCCCTTCTACTTAGGCTTGTGCAGTGACGCTGGAAGATAACATTTCATGCCAAGATCATGGGTCGGTGCTTGTTGCGGAAAAAGTGAAAGGGATGGCGTGAGGAGGTTTCCAAGGCCCGTGAACTAAGTAAATATGGTCATACAGGATCTCTGTACACCGGAGAAACGATGTGCTAGCTTCCACAACTTGGCGGGGCAAAGACCTCCGTGATGCAAGGTACATTTATTAAGCGAGCTGCACTCAGTAAAAAAGGGGGGCAAGTGTGTCGCAGTCTAATTAAAGTCAAGCTTAGCATGAGGTTGCACATGATATTTGATACCGTCGCGTCAACGTAAAGAGTGACCTGGGAATAGAAGCCTACCCGAAACGATATTTTGCAAACAAGCATTCTCGTGGCCAAGGATCCCAGTCTCAGACTACTAGAATCCCCAAAGGAGTGCATTTGCTCATTGTTATCATCTTGTAGGACTGCCTGGGCAGGCTCGGATTCCTCCCTCACATCTAAATCCATTTCGAAACGTCGAAGTAGCCTTGACGTATCTGACGCTGGACGTTCTCGACGATCATAGGCCAATGGCAATATATCGCCGAGAATCTCTGTCAGTGTGCATAGTGCAATGAAGCACTGCGCTGATGCAATTCGCCGAGCATTCTCCTTCCCGGGCGTGACAAGAATTGCAACACTTGGTACGGGGACGTCGTACTGCGTTTTATTACTTAGTGTTGGAACCCCATGAGCAAAGCTGGACCTTCATCCGAATTTATATCAGCAAGTGTTGATTAAAGCGGGGTACTTGTTGAAACAAAAGACTCACCAACGATCATGGATCAGAACACCCTACCCTCATGGATCTCTCAGAATCAGAGATTTTCCATGTTTTTGGATCGCGATTAAGGCCCAGAATGTGTGACAAGCTAATGGTTTTGCTACTGGTAATAGTATTGCCGGTGATTGACGTTGTAGGCCTTCCGTTCAGATCTAGTAATGCAGCAATATCTCTGGAGTCAGTGTGACTTGATGGAGAAAAGATACAGGACCTATCTTCCGGTGATGGATTCACCATTCCAAAGCTCTTTAAACTAGGGAGACGTTTGACATACAGTACTGTTGATGAGCCAGGAGCCGTGAATTCTTCTTGGAGAGCAACAACTGCAAGATTCCAAGCATACTGAATGTTTGAACAAGAATACTGGCGCAGTTTCTCGGATCGATGACAATATATAAGGGACGAAGCAAGCAAATCACACACCATCGCAGCAGACAAGCTTTTGTTGCCTGGTCGGTAGAGGTGGAGGAAGTTATCTTCATCCATAGTAGGAAAAGATGGGTGAAGGTACTCAAAATAGCTGGGAGGATCAGTCCTTGACGTTGCACTTTTGCAATGTTAACTCACAGCCCTATAACATCGTCAGTGAAAGGACCCAGAATTCTCGTTGTTTCTCCCCCGAACAATTGTTTAACGAGAGACCTTCTCGTCTACGATAAACTGTGAGGCATAAAGCTGGATCCTTGGGGTTGTCCGAGACGGTGGCGTAGACTCGATTGCTACCACCACCGTGAAGTCTACCTTGCAACGACATGTAATTCTGGATCATTTGTACGTTCTCGGCCATGACTGTGCTTACAAACGTGGCAGACTTACTTCTCGACGTCTCGTCGCTCTCATTTCGGGAAATATGGACTGCTGAGGTCTTACACTGTTGAGGTTGCAACGGCGATGTCCAATCTTCATTCCCTGACTCGCGTGGAGAATCATCGCCATAGCTGATGCGGTGGCGTTTGGCTGCTTGATTGACATGATTCTGATTCCAGGTCCCATAGCCTCGTCGCATCGTTTCACTAGAAGGTATCTGTTCCTTCTGAGGTCGAACGCAAGCTGCACCCAATCCCTTACATGGACCGCAGGGCTGTCCTGCGATTCTCACAGAGCAACGTGGTTTGCGTTTCCTACATCGTTCGCATACAGGGAACTTGTGTGATCTATATGGCCTTGCAGCTGTAGATGGTTGGCGAACGCTGCGAGTATCTTCTGCCGGCGTGTGTGAACCCATTTTCGGTCGGTCAGTCAATAGGAACCAGGCCCAGATATGTGGACAATTGGAATTTGGCAGAGAGAAAACTCACCCGGCAGAAGAAAAGAACGCAAGCCGTCAGAGGCTCCATTGAGCTCGTACGGGAAACCGCGAACGATCAGCTGATCAAACCGATGTGCACTTTCCGATACCAGGAGTGGGACGATATAGATGGCTAAGTCGTTGTACACGGTTCCTTCCAGTAACGGGAAACTTGATCAGGAAATTCGGAAAATGTCGAGCTTTCCCGTGCGTTGGCCGACAGGGAAGACGACTTGCCTGAGCTAGCTGAAGGCATACCCAGCATGGACGACTAACTACTAGCTGTTCATAGAAGGGCGTCCAATAACAAGAGAACGAGGCCCCAATTACTACCACTTGAAAAACAGAAAATATTGACGGGGCTAAGGTATCTGAGGTGAGGTAGATTGGCGAGGTACAGTAAGAGCGCACGGCATGAAACATCACTGTACTGCGCTAGATGAAGTAGGGAAAGGGGAACGAATGACCAGCTGTGCAAATTTCACGACCGAGCAAAAATCAGTGATGGGTAACTTGACTTGATATATTGCTAGGATGAAAAGATAACAATTTAAATTGACCCCTTGTCGATTTCTACTATCGTTATTGTCATATCAATGTCCATCATTAGCGACTCGGGTTCGCTTATTAAAGGGGCATTGTGCCTGGTGTTGTCCTCAAAGCTTCCTCGAATATGCCCAAGCCCGTGTCCAGCTCTTCGTCACTGATCGTGATGGGCGCGCGATCCTGATAACTCCCCCAAAGGACTTCATTGTCGCCAGATTGGCTGATAGACCGAGCACAGCCATCCTTTTGGCTAGAGCATCTCCAACCTCCAAGGACGGTATTTTGGTTGCTCGATCTCCCACAATTTCCACACCGCACATCGGGCCTCGTCCTCTTACATCTCCAATGCAGCCATACAGACCCTGCAGTCTCTCCAAAACAGCTTTCAGTCTCAAGCCTGCCAATCGAGAGCGCTCAACCAAGCCGTTGCGAATCACAATATCCAGGACCTTCAGTCCCACAGCGGCAGGAAGCGCTAACCGCTTAATCAGCCCAGATGTTTGAAAGTGAAAAGCGGAAGAGTATTCCGATTCCTATGAGCTGAAAGTTGTCTTGATATAACAGACTGATAAGGCCCGCTATGACAGATAGCAGACAGCACTCGAGAAGAGTGAATAGACTTACGATCGTTAACATGTGTGGTGTAAAATAGAAAGCCCCTCTCGAAACAAGTCTCTTCGATTCTCTTGGATGTCACAACGGCCGCGAGTGGCAGGCCATCTACAGACAAATCAGTATACACCTTTTCACCTAGAGATGCCAGAGCCCAAGAACTTATTCAAAAAAATGAAACCCATTTCTTTGATGAGCAGCTCCCCAGGATCATCCCGAAGAGTTTTGTCTTAAGATGAGTGTAAAACAAGGGCAGGGTTCGACGTACTCCCGAGCGTCTTACTGAGCGTCAGGATATCTGGCGTCACATTCTCATGTTCGATGGCGAACATTGAGCCACACCTTCCAATCCGGTCTGAGCTTCATCTACTATCAAAAGCATTCCACGTTCCTCGCAGTGAGTTTTCATGGCCCGAAGATAGCCCGGAGGGAGGACATGCATGCCTCCAGAACTCAGAATTGGCTCAATGATGACTGCTGCGAGTGAACCATTCGATGCTTGATCAATCAGATCCCAACCATAGTTAAGTTCGGTCTCCCTACTATCAATTAGTCTAATTTCGCACGAAATCAAAGATGATTTTGGCATTGTCTCAGCAGCTATCTGCTAAACAATTCTCGAGCATGGAATGAAGATTGTGTGTTGAAAACATCAAACACTAGGACTGGGATATGCGCGAAAGTCATCACGAAAGGGTCAAGATAGCCCACCAGTCATAGGAACCATCTGCATGGCGGAATATTGATCGATAAGCATTTGGTGATGGAAGAACGAGACTTCCTGGGACCTCCATAAGTTAGCAATGTTTAGAGCTTCTTGGGCCATTTCATGCGAAGACCTACAAAATGCCCGTAGCCTCTTCGCCCGGAATGGAAGGTCGCTGCCGTTGCTCCACTCGTCATCCCGTGCCAGGAAGCACCAAGTGCCACGATCTCGTACTTTCCCGTGTACAGCTTTGCGAGCTTGATAGCTGCTTCATTACTCTCTGCACCTGTGCTAAGGAACATGGCGCGATCTGTTGTGCCAGTTCAGTATCATCAAATCAAGACAGAGGGTGTATGTTCGCGTCTTTTCGAATCCATCTGCAGGAATAAAAAACATACCAAGACTTTGTGGTAGCAGACTGGTCAATTTCTGTGCCAATTGCATTACTGGAGGGCTGAGCATTCCACTGAAAAGATGGCCCAGGCCAGATGCATGTTCAGCAATCGTCTGAACAATTTCTGGGTGACCATGGCCGATCAGACAGCTCATTTGGCCAGACGTGAAGTCCAAGATCTTTCGTCCATCCGCCGTGTAGATATAGATCCCTCTGGCTCCAACTATCATATCAGGAGAGAATTTGCCCCCGAATCGGATGAGGGTACTAGTGCTTGTTTGAAGTAATGCTGATGCATGATCCCTTGATACAAGATTTCAACTTTCTTGGGAAACGGAGGCAATAGCGTACTCGAATCCTGAAGGGGGGAGGCCATTTGTGAGGAGAAATACTGCGCAATGTTTTCAATCTAGTAATAAATAGTGTGGAGAAACGAAATGTTTGAATGTTGATATCGTCGCATATATAAATCGATAACTTGAAGTGACGGTTCCGGGTCCAATCTGCTAATTATAAAATAATG